GTCTTTTCTCAAGAGACATTGGGGCGGCGGGGGGGAAAGCATACCGCTCATCTTATACTCGCCGGCATCCTGACTCCTGGAGCTACGAATGCTCAGAGCCGATGAATTCTTGGAGCCGACGGTATCCTGTCTCTCGAATCCAGGATGCGATGGATCCTGGCCGTCGCCAGGGTAAGCATTCTCGTCAGTCGTGACGGCTCCAAAACCTTGTCGACGAGCAAAGGGATTACGAATCGGCATGTTGGCTGGTGGAATGGTGCAATATAAAGGCGTATGGGGGTATGGGGGTATGGTATGGGGGTTCCCGGTTTAAAATGGGCAATGCGGTCGTCGCGACGGGGCTGCCCCTCGTGATGTCACTTCGATATGTGCGACAAGTTGTTGAGTCTGCCTTCAACGACTCTCAATGGCAGGACGGAATACCCAAGGCCCTAAAGATTGAGGTGTTCCAGAATAGCTTGTTGGTAAAAGTAGGGTAATCAACTCGTTATTAGTATCCGTACGGCGGAGGCGATAATAAAGTCTTACGGGTTCCAGGTGTCGCACGTCAAATAGGCACTTAAATGATCAACTTAGTAGAGCAGAAATCTCGTGTGTGTGTATTATATCCAGTTATATCTGGGAGAGTCTCTTATACCCTTAATTTAGGTGGTGAAGACTCTGTTATAGGTACTAAGTCATTTAGATCCTATCCGGTCTTTTCCGGTATCCGCCCCTATTATATCCGAAGCCCTTAGTTATAATATAGATCTCCCCTGGATCCCCTATAGACCACGTCGTGGTCCGTGTGCCTATACGATACCAGGTCGCTAATCTACTCCGTACGTCTATAAGGATTATTATTATTATTATTATTATTCTTACTTCGCTATCCTATCTAATCTATAGGAGCCTATTCAGACTATACGGTCCTTCTCGGGTAGCTATAGAGGGGAAAAACCCGGAGCCCCGGGGGAAAAACCTCTATACTTATCCTTAGTTAGAGTGGTGTCTCGGCGGGGCCGATATGGCCCCGGTTTGCCCTGTCTGCGTATCTGGATCATACCTCTAGGCTGGTGGCTAACGGGAAGGGTAACAGGCTATGGTTCGGGTTAGCCTAGGCCGGTTATTAGTGATAGGGCGGGGGCCGAAAGGGTACCGCGGGGTCTCCGCCATATAGCGGCCGCGGCACACTAATATCGGCCTCCCTGCGTCCCCGGGGCCGCGCCTATTATTCTATAAGGATACTAGTGGTAGTACGAAGTACGAAAGTAAGTAAGTAATAAGGTATAGTCGGTACACGCTAATTTCGAGTCAGACTAAAAATACCCCACTACTATATCACTACTACTATCTTCGAAGTCCTCTATATATCGTATTCCTTAGTAAAGTTAGTAGTATTTATATAATCTAGGTATAGGAAAAGAAGGTCTCTCGAATAGTATAATTAGTATTTTATATACTACCCTCCGCTTTAAATTATAGTATTAATCCTGCGCAGTATACTAGCTATTAGCCTTTAGATAAGCTCTTATTCGAACTCCTTCTATACTATGACCGCGGTGCGTATAAGTAATTCCTATAATTCGATATTCTTTTTTATATCCCCGAGGTTTAGTTCCTTCTCATAAATACGCTCTTTTATTAATTTTTATTAATTTTCTATAGGGTTAAGGTTAGGGGAGTATACCGGCTAGTCTATAATTTTAACCCTGTTTTCTTAAGCCTATAAGCGTAACTATTTTTATACTACGCGCGCTATATACGTAAAGGCGTTATCCTAGGCGAAGATCTTACTAGGATCGTAGATAGTTAGAAGCTAGTCTTAAAGGCACTATAAAATAACCTAACCTATAGCCCCCCCGCGCGGCGATTCGGGGTCACCGTAAAGCTCGTATAACGATATACGTGCGCTATATAAAATCGCGCCCTAGAATATCTAGGAGTGTCTTATTAGCTTAAGCCGTGGCTATATATTCTAGGGGAGTAAATATTCGCCCTAATAAAATATTAGTATAAAGTTCTAAAGCCAGGACGATAGCCTACTTTTCTGCAGAAAACCTAACTCTGCCTTATACCCTGCCCGCGCGCGATAGTGCTCTTATTAGAGAAGATAACGCGTTTCCAGAAATTAAGGCCTTTACCTACGTATGCCCTAGCAAAAATAAGCCTCTCTTTCGCGTGCTCTTCCGTTAATTTTAGTTATTAAAGCGCGCGGTAGTGCTGGATACCTTTATAGATAAGCTCCCTCTTAATTATCTCTATAAAACAGGTAAGGCGCGCCTAGGCCTTAAGTTCCCTACACGAAATAAAAGGGTTTTACCTAACGAATCGAAAGAGGTACCTTATATCGCGATTAGTAAGGTAGTGTAGCCGGCTAGGCCGTGGGAGTAACCTAGCTAATTTCTACTCTTAGTATCGCTTATATATCCTATAGATAGACCCTAGGGATACGCCTATCCTGCGCGCGACCTCGTGATACGTTAGCCTTATTTCGACTAAGGATATAATCCTTATTCGTTTATACGGCGAATAATACTATTTAGGGGTCTATGGCTATTAAACTAGTATTATTACGGCTATTTAAAGATAGAGGGTTATAGTAGGAATAACGTGTTTAAACGCGTTAAGGGTGAAAATATGGGTTTTGACTCGAAATTAGTATGGGGCCACTATAGGTCTAGAAAGTCTGGGGTCGAAGCAGCCGGTTGTGGGCTTTTAGGGGAGGCCGACGAAGAGTTTTACAGGGGTTCGACCTTAAACCAAACCCCCGAGGGGGCCGAGAGTAGAGGCCTTTTATGTTAGGGACGGAGGAAGGACGTACGAAGTAATAGGTATCATTACTTCGCACAATAAGGTAGGTACCTAAGGTAAGGAAGGTACTTATTAGCCCCTTGTCAGCGCTGAATACTTTAGCTAGGTATATGGTGAGTGCGACTTTTGGCTTTCCATCTCAACCTGAAGTGTGTTAGGTTCGAAGTATCTCATCGGGAACGATCAATTTGCTTGACCCTGGGGTAACGATCGACAGGACGAAGTGGACCGGGAAAGCTCATAGACGTCCTTGACGTCCTTCCCCGACGTATTTCGTACCGTACCGTCTGGGGCCTTCATCAAATAATATTCGTAGTACGAAGCAATCTGTATATCCATCCCACTGGGAGGACCGGTCGCACATGAACAGGTTCCAGGGCGTCGAGTCTCGTGGTGTCTGACTCGCATCTGGAGTTTCAACGCCGCCTCTGAGAGAGAACGGCTCGGTCTTGGCAAGAAGCTTGAGGGGCCGGATGGGGATTAGGCAAAGGCAGGGAGAGTACACCGTACGGATAGGACAAACAAAAAAAAGCGTTTTGCACTCTCGCCCGCTCTTGCATACCGAAACCGTTGGGAGAGGGAGGGCGGGGGAAAGACTCGCCGGCCAACGTTTGTCGTCATAATCCGTGGTTCCGTTTATTAGCCATGATAAATCCGGTTTCCTTGGAGGGAAGTGAGAGGCGTCGGGAAAGGGAATCGATGCCGAAAATGAAGGACTCCAACAACGAGTGGAAAGGATGAGAAGGTATGGAGGGTACGATGCTTAATAAGTAAAACGCTTGGCTGACGCCGTGATACCGACATACAGCGGTGATGGCACCAGCCACAAGCGGGATGTGACGTTGGTTATGTGGCGCAGCCACGAGCCAAGCCACTGGTCAAGCCACTCGGGAGCCATGTCAAATGCCAATGAAATCCGCACTCCGCAGGTAATAATCTGTATGAGTGGCACTTGGTTCATGAACCTCTTAACAGGTCAGCGGAATTGGATCCGTGGATTGAAGAACTTGAGGTCCCGTAGTTCGCCAACACTGGGGTATCACTATGAACTTCCTTACTCCTTTCCTTCCGAAGCAACTCAAACGCCGGCGACGAAACCTTCGCTTGAAAGACGCAGACAAAATAAAACGCGGATGGTGATTGGAATCCATGCCCTGAAATCCGATGGGTCATATGAAAAAAAAAGGGGCCCCGGGGGGGGGGGTGGGGGGAAGGGAAACCTCCAAGTAAATGGCACAATCAGTCCTTCACGGACACCTCGATTGTGTCCATGTCCTCAATATCCACCTCTTCAATCGTCGAGGCCTCGTCTAGCTGCTCTCCGTCGAAATAGAGCGAGACGGACGAGCCTTCCGGAACATTTCGCATCTTGCGGTACATGACGACGAGCGTCTGGATAGTCGTCGAAGGCCGGACTGTCGTCTTGACAGGCTCATCGCTGCGTGTTTTGAGAATGACCCTGATTTTCTGCTCCTCCGGAGCCGGAGCCGGAGCCCCTTCGCCGTCGTTCTCGCCATCGAGGGCCGCCCCACCGTCGTCGGAATCGTCATACAACTCCCCCAGCGCCCGGCGCCTCTCTCTCTCCATACGCTTCTGGTGCTCCTCCCATAGTTCCTCCGTCCAAATCTCCATGTGCAGACGCGTCCAGTCCTTACTGAACCCGTCCGTGTCGTGGAACTTGCCGACCGACGCGTGTTGCAGCGTACCGCTCGCGGAGGCTCGAATGTCAAGGCTGTCGATCGTGGTGGAGTCGTAGAGGCGGCGGCCGCGCCAGGTGAGGAAAGTGCCTTCCAGTGTCTGGCGACCCAGCCGAAGCGTCGCGCCAGTGCTAAGGCACCAGGCCCGGCGCACTGCACTCAAGGGCTTCCAGAGCGTGATGACGAACCGCTTAGGCTCAGTGTCGGGAAGACGGGAGGTGACGAGAAGTTGGATACGGGTCTTATCCTTCTCCGCCTCCTCGGCTTTCTTCTGCCGCTCTTGAGCAGCGCGTATGAATTCCGCAAACTCGCCGTTCACTTCGTCATCGTCGTCCTCCTCCTCCTCCTCCCTCAGGGCGTCGTCCTTCTTGTCCTCCTCTTCTTCCACGACGAACGGGTCTTCCAGATCATGCGCCGCCGAACTGCTCCTAGTGCTTTTCACATATCGGATAGGCGTAGCGCCGTATATATCCTCGTCCGGATCATCTAGACTGGCACCTTGGCCGTGATAGCTCTCGTCTTCTAGATCAACAAATTCGGGTTGTTTTCCCTTGTCTTGCAGTTTGCTCGGGCTGCGCGTCGAAACGGATCGTCTGGATCGGGCAGGAGACTTGGGATGTCGGGCATGACAGGGCGACGTTGGGTGTAATGGGTTGGAGTTGATCGAGCCGTGACTTGTACGTGATCGCTTCGACGGAGGTGTCGCGATAGTGGCCCTGAGAGCGAAAGTCAGCGGGGGTCCAGTTAACTGCACGACCCCAAAAGATCCGGGATGGGAGGTTATGGCTCACCCGAGGCCGTCGCCGTCGTTGTCATCAGTGCTCTCCACTGCTACTGTGGGCTGGGAGTTCTGGCCCTGGCTTTGGCTTTGGCTTTGGCTCTGGTTGCGGGAAGTCGGACGGGGTAAAGGCGATTCCTCATCCTCAACCTTGACCTTGTCGACTCCGTCCTTTACCTCAGCTGTTGACGAGGAGCGATCGTTTCGGCTGCTCTCGCGTTTGGAATGCTTGCGCTTGCGACGGCGTTCTTGCTCTGCCAAGGCGACGGGGAAGAATTCTTTGGAGCGCTGGAAGAGGCTCAAGCCATCATCCTCGGCGTCGCCATCCTTGTCTTTGCTCTCTGGCGTCGGGGCCGAGAGCCTTTGCAGGGCTGTCGGCTTGAAAGGTAGACGGCGCTTGGGCGCAGCACTCATGCTGGGATAAATGGATAAATGGGATAAATGGGCAAAACTGATATTCGCTGAACTCCCCCGATCAAGACTCCATCGGTAGGCGGGGGTGCATTTGAAAATCGGTTTTCGGCGCGTCCGGGGGAGAGGGAACAGTATAGGACCGAAAGTCGCCCACGAGGTAAGTAGCCAAACACGGAGATGAATACCACTGATGGGGTGGAGGACGGATGGTGGTGAAATCCGGATTCAAAGGGACCAGAAAGATTACAAAGTGACACAAAGGTGAAGCGCGGTTCTAGAAGGTCGTGGTGACCGTGACTCGGCTTTAGCCCACATAATAAACTCCGTATGGAGGATATCCGTAATTATGGAGGATATGTACTGCAACTTTCAGGGCATCTACGCTACCGTTTGTGTACCTGTATACCTACCTAAGGTACCTTACCTTTACTTCTTTGTCCGTCTGTAAGAAGTGTACGGTAGGAAAGGTATTGCACATTGGAGAAGTGGGGTCCAGCAAAGCTTAGGTAATAGGTAGGTAGGTATTCGCTGGTGTCCAAACCTCCTGTGAGCAACTCAACTCTCCCAACCTGGAACTCATCAGCATCACGCTCATCAATCTCCTGCTACCTTACGTCCCCCCGGCCCTACGCAGTACCATGGAGAACGGAAACCCCGCACAAGGGGAGGGCAAGGACCCCTCCAGCTTCCTCAGCGAAATCATCGGAAATCCCGTAACCGTCAAGCTCAACTCCGGGGTCATCTACAAGGGTACATACAGTTCACTCTCCCTCTCATCAGGCATCACAATGCTGTCTCAGGTCGCATCTTACAAGACTGACAACATAACTACAATGACAGGCGAGCTGCAGTCGGTGGATGGCTACATGAACATTGCGCTCGAGAAGACAGAGGAGTACGTCAACGGAACGAAGAGGAGATCCTATGGTGATGCCTTCGTCCGAGGCAACAATGGTGGGCCTACCCAAGTCCTTTTCACAGTTTCTCTCCCTCGCTATATACATATCGACATGGAGCTATCCTGCTAACATTAACCTCACAGTCATGTACATCAGCGCCGACTCTTAGCCTGGATATCAAGGGGTCGAGCCTTAGTGTTTGAATGAGGAAGAGACATCTTCTTACTCTGAAGAGTCGTCTTACTTGAGAGCAGATGATAAACGGGAGTCCGAGTCGTACTTTTACAGTCTACCGCGAAAATAGATGATACCCGCCACGTTCCACCGGGCCCTTTTCTTGTCACCCGCTTTCTTCCGTATGATATATCCCCATCTCCCAAACCATGCCGACACACTGGCTGGTAGCGCTGAGCTTGATTTACGTTACGACCTCCAAGTCCACACGAAATACGTCTTCCCATGGAAGGCCCCCCCTTTTTTTCTTTTTTTTTCTTTTTTTTTTTTTCTCTTTTGCTGGCCTCACAGAAGACAGGGCACGCGCATCATCGGCCTGAGAGCCTACAGGCCAATCTCGAATTATCCCCCCCACCAAGTTCACCTCCCAATTCGGCTCGATCGGGGAGAGTGAATCGCGGAACCCCCACAGATGTACGAAGTAACAGCACAGTCAGGGGACCACGTCGTTCATCGTCCGTCGTTCGTCGTTCGTCACCGATGTGTCGACCTTGGCGGGTTCTTGTGTAGCTTCGTAGCACCCGCCGAAAAACTCGTCCTCGGCCGCGATGACGACCGCAAGTCGGGTTCCTCTCGGGAGTCTGTCGAGGCGACTGCGGGCACTTGGGCCTGGGATGTCTGCCAGCTGTTCGACCGGGTATGACCTATACGTTGAGGGTGAGGCGGTTGATACAGCCTGGGAGTATGTCCTTGAACAGAGACGTGAGGAGGCGGAGACTGATGAGCCCGGCTGCCGCTCTGAAGGGGAACGGAAGTGCTACAAATCCAGATGCCGTCCACAGTGACGCCGCCCTCGATAGCTCGGATCCCAAAGGGTATGTCTATGTCACTCCGTGACGAGAGCCCGCTCTTGCGCATCTGGTTCAACCGGATGCGCCTCTCCTCGTCCAGGGCCTCTTGTCTCTTGAGGTAACGGTTGGTCCAGCAGAGCTTTACGTAACCTATGAAGAAGACTGTGGCGATGGCGGCGGCTAGGCACTGGTACGTGCGTGTTAGAGTTCTTCTTCGGCCGTCTGTTGTGAAAGAGGGGCGACGCAAGTTTGCAACGAAGGAAGTGAGAAATGCTTACGAAGGTCATTTGCTGCCATAGCTCCCAGGATACGAAGAACACCCCCATTGGAGCTGATGGGTTCTGCAGGCGGAAACCGAAGACAATAGACCTGTAGACAGGGGCTTATAGTTGTATTGGTAGTTGATAGTGGCCGCATGTAACGTGGTACAGAAAACCGGACACGTCAGGAAGGGGATAGAAGACTGGGGGAGCTTGAGAAAACAGAGGGCTTAAAGGGGCCCCAAGACCGTCACGTTAAAAATGTGCGGTGGAAAAAATAGGAAGACAGGGAGCAAAAAAGACAAAGGTATGCCATATGCATGGGTCCCTCTACACATCATCATGCAAGATCCTGATGTCCAACATCAAACAGACAAGACAGTGGGGACAGACCGCCTGGGCGACGTGTCTAAAGTTGCATATGTATGGAGTAACGTGCGTCGAAGCCTGTCCTGTAGTATGGAGTATAATTATGGTAAGGTAGCAGATAATGCTGGTGCATCGGCGATCAAGAGAGAGAAGAACGCACAGCGGCATTTATCATCACCCTCTAAAAATCGAACATGTTAAATAAGAAATACAAACGAAAACAAGTGCAAAGACCTGAATTCTGCATGAGTTGATGGGTTTGGCATGAGACCATTGGCGGATAGCTGCAGCTCTCGCCCCCTTTTATTTTGGCTGAACTCGGATTAGCATTGGCCGAGAATTCCTCTTCAACAGCTTCGAACCCCATACAGGACCTCGTAATTCCCGTTTTTATTCAAGGAGGCCCCCGGCCCATTCAAGAGAGGTCATATGGCTCGAATCGCACTGATAGTGGCCCATGACTTGTCATTGTATGGGTCGTGGGCAATGTGGATGCTATGCCTATCCGAAGAAACCCCATCAACAAAACATCGACAGATCAAGGACAACCCGAAGTAGGTATGAATCGAGCAGTTCTGTCGTCTTGTCTCCAATGTCACATTTTTATACATATGTGGAAAAAAATCGAAACCCACCACCCCCCTCCCTCCCGGGTCACAGCAAACGTGGTACGATGCTATTCGGAATCGGTTGCTAAACAAGGCCATCCCCGCCCACTTCGTGGCCCTACGGTGGAGCAGATGGATGGATAGACATGTACATAGATCATTATAAGGTAGACACCTACTGTCCGCTCTTTCACGGCCTCCAGGCCTCCAAAATTTTGCTACTCCGCACACGCGTCACAAAATTGAGCGCATCCATGCGGTCCTCCTTATCCTGCTTGTCCTCTCCCTCATTCTCCCCGTCGTCTTCCTCTTGAGCCTTCGCGCCGTGGACGTGGTTCGAACCGAACCCGAACTTCTCGCTCAGCCTCTTCGCCACGTCGTTGGCTTCGCCCAGCGACACCAGCCTTCGCTGGCCGGGATATCGAGCCATGTAACCCGCCACAACATCCCACACGCGCCGGCGCTTCTGTGCCTCTTGCTCTCCCCCGTCAGCAGTCAATGGAGGTACGGTGCGTCCCTGCTTCGTCGCCTCGAGAAATTCCGCGGGGTCGACGTTTAGGAGACCAGATGCGCCCTGTTCCCAGCGACCGCGGCGCACGATGATGTCGTCCGGCTGCTTAAACGTGAAGGCCATGAGCTGCCCACGGGCGACCTCGGCTGGCGTCCGGCCGACGGCGTTCTCGCGATAGAGAAGCTCCGGGTTGAACCGCAAAAGACCTTCCACCATGTCGACGTCTGAGCCCATCACGGCGGAATGTAGCAGAGTCTCGCCCGCTCCGTTGAGCATGCCGAGTTCTGCCCCGCCAGAGTACCCAAGTAGAAGTTTGAGGACAGCAAGCTTCTTCTCTTGGGTGTCTTCGGCGCTGATGGTTGGGAGATAGCGGCCCAAGCCATATGGGACAAAGGACGGCTGCCCGGGCTGCTGCCGCAGCCCCCAATAATGGACGGGCGTGGTGCCGCCCTCGGACAGATTGTTTCGCTGCGAGAGAAGGTAGCGTCTCAGGTCCGGATCCAGTAGATCCAGCATGGGCTTGAGCAGATCCGCTGTCGGCGAGTATGTCAGAGCCGCGTGGATGATGTTGTCTCCCCCGGCGCTGCGCGCAGACTGGTCAGCACCTCCCTCGATGAGCGTCTTGGCGAATTCGGTGCGACCATAGGCGAATGCCACTTGAAGAGGCGTCTCGCCGGTGCTTGACCTGTACTCGAGAGCACCGGGACAGGCGTGGATAAGGTATTTGATGAGTTTGTTTGTCTGTTCCGTGCGAGGCCCTAAGACGGCGCAATGGAGGACCAGCTCATCTGCGTATCGTTAGAATTCGATGCACAGGAGAAGAAAAAGAGACACTGAAACGGGAGGAGACAGTTTCCGACGTACTCTGAGTTCCCAACCATGTCGATACGGCCCTATCAAAGCCTCCCTTGGCTCGTCTCAGATGCTCCAGTCTCGGATCTTGTGCTGCAGCCTCGGACTGGCCAAATTCCGCATAGCATCTGTGCGGAGCATCGCTCAAGAACCATTCAACCGATTCGATACTGCCATGCAGAGCCGCATGAAGGAGCGGCGCAATGCGAATCCCTGACGATCTGACCATGAGGTTGCGTCCGGCCGTGGCCCAGTCGTTCCTGTATTTAGGCACCGTGTCAGCGTCGAAAAGACGAAGAGAAATAGGTGAGAAAATATCCACATGTATGTTTTATATAGAAACATGCAGATTTCGGGTCCAATTACCTTTTCTTGCCGTAAACTGTCAAGCCTTGATAGTAACTCGGCTTCTGCGTCAACTCAACGCCGCTCTTCTTGATCAGATGGTCAAGGGGCATTCCGGCCCCGACTTTCTTGATCAGGTAAGAGAGTATGTCCAACCTGCCGTTCGCTATCGCAGACGAGAAATCTTGCTCCGGGAGGGAGAAGTAGCATCGCTCAGCGTCTTCATCCTCGTCCCCTGGCAGTCTGTGCTTGGAATAATGCGCAGCCATGTCCATCAGGCTTTCGAGGCCGGCGCGATCGTCCTGCTCAATGGCAAACGAAATCAGACTTGTTTGCTGCTTGACTTCGTCTCCGGGGTTCTTGAAGCAAGGGGCCGAAGCGAGCAAGACGTCCATCGGCTTCGTCGTTGACTTGACTTGCATGGATATTTGGCCGATGTTGTCAATGGTGAACTTCTCGTCCAACGTCTCAGCCAGAAACTTCACCCCTTGCCCCTCAGCGTCACCATCTGAATCTTCAGAGATGTCAGAGTTCGATTCTGCATCGCTGTGTTCGCAGCCATAGTGGTTCTCATCGTCCTGGTAGAGCCTATACCGAGCATCTTTCTTTTCTGGGGCAAACTGAAGCTTTACGATCTCCAGGATAGCTCTGGCTACCTTGTGATGGCCCCTCAGAAATGCCAGAGAGAACGGACTGTTGTCATTCATGTCGGTGACGGCCATCTTGAGGGGCGCCTCATTGTTATTTTCGCCCCAAGCCTGCGTTGTGAGTTCCGTGATCTTTTGGAGGTTGCCGGCCCAAGCGGCCTCGAACCTGCTCCATGGTCAGAACAATATCGATCACGTTGGATTCTCGAGGAACGGTGATAAACCACTTACAAATCAAGGTATGCAGCCTGACGGACTTCCGTAACATCTGTGACGTTTCTGAATGAGATGTCCAGCTTGTACCGATCGGGCTGTTTCTTGTTTTCTTCCTCTTGGCCGTGCCCGGGGTTGATGTGTGAAGATTCGTAGGGGGGCTTGAGTTCAGGATGCAACTCGTAGAAGGTCTTGCCACCTTTGGCGATGATGGCCTGCTCGAGCTCTTCAAGCTTGGAAATGACCTCCTTGATCATGGCGCGTTTCTCGGGAAGCCCTTTGGTATTCTGGTACTTGGATTCCTCCGAATCGTTGTGCGCCTTCTGTTTCTCCCTCGAAGCCTTCTTGGCTCGAATGTCCTCAGAGGTCATCCAGCGTCGATATGTGCCCTCCTCCAAGCTCTGCAGGTACTCGTCCATGCCCTCGACCTCGGATATTTGATAGAGGAAGGCAGGAACCTCCTTGGCGTTTCGAAAATTCTTCAGTTGCGTCCGCACCATGTCCAAGACTGTCTGTCCCGTGCTGTCTTGCTGCCCCCGGGCGCCATGGAAATTGGTCGTGTTCGGGTCGGCACCTTTCTCTAGTAGTGTCAAGGCAATCTGAGGATCAGGGCAGGACCGGATAGCCGCTATCAACGGTTGCTGGACATGTTCCATGAACAGGTTCTTGTTGTGTTCGTAATCCCGGAGCCGCTCCGCCATTTTCGAGAACTTGGCAGCTTTCAGCCAGCCGTCGAAGTCGAGTTCCGGGTCAGCGCCAGCCTCAAGGAGTCTCAGCACCATAACCGAGTCGCCCTGCTCGATTGCTGTGTGGATAGGGGTGATGGCTTTGCAATTCCAGGCGAAGTATGAGGAGGTCATTACAAAATGGTTGATGGCGGTCTTAACCCCCCTCTTGTCGTTGTCCACCAGTGTATCGATCAGTTCCACCCTTCCGTTCTCCACATGACGGTGGAAGACAGTGCAGCCATTGAGGTCTGCTTGAGAGCATGTCGCGCCGTGTTTCAGAAGGACTGTCGCCATAGACTTTGCCTTCTCGAGCGGCAAACTCAAGGCGAGGACGAGGGTAAGAATGGCACCGGTCGGCTTCTTCTCCGAGTTGAGAAACTTAACAGGAAGAATAGCATCGCTTCCGTACTGTGAAAGACGTTTAGCACAATCCTTGAACAAGCGATAACATGGAACCAGCCGGCCACTTACACTGCACAGAAGAGAGACGACATTTTCGTGGCCTTCGGCAATCGCGAGATGAAGAGGGGAAGACGGAATATCCCAGGCAAGAACATCAATCTTGTAGAAATCAGGAGTGTTGTCGTCCGAATCCGCCTCGTCAAGGTCTTGCTGTTTCTCTTCGGTTTCTTTCTCGACGTTGACGAAAGATCCGGTCACAACGGAGTGGGCATCGACGTCGGTTTCTTTGCCGTCGATCAGCTCTCCGTCAGAGAGCGCATCGTCATCGTCATGGTTTTCAAGGTCCCTTGCGGCTTGGCCATCAGCCTCAGTGTCATCATTCTCGCCGGCATCTTTCCGAGACATCCGTGCCTTGTCCTTTGCAGCTTCTCGGAGGGCCCTCCGCCGATTATCTTGCTTCTCTTCCTCTTCTGCTTCGTTGGCAATACTCTTCTCCATTAAGATCTTCACCACCTCGGCATTCCCACGCTGGGCGGCCAAATGGAGAGCGGTTGAACCATCCGCGATCCGCGCTGTTAAGCGAGCACCGTGGTCGACGAGGCAGCGGACGACATCCGGAGTAGAGCTGATGACGGCCAGGTGCAGCGGGGTTCTGCCAGTATAATCGCGCTTGTTGGGGTCGGCGCCCTCCTGGGAGAGCCAGTCAAGGACCTCATCCAAGTTTCCATCCACGATACTCTGACACAAGCGAGCCGTATTACCGACGTACGCCATGTCAGTCCAGTCGTCGTCCGTCAGGGGGTTGAATGAACCAATCTGTTGCCGACCGGGGTCGTCAATCAGGAAGGATATCTTGCCGGAAATGTACTTCTCGGCTTCCTTCTCGGCTATCTCAATCTCTTCAGGAGTGACAGGGACAGGACAGCCGCCACAACAGTCCTCGATGACATCCTCGACCCGACCGAAGAATGCCGGATGACGATGTAAGTACACCTCCCTCTCCTTCGGTTGATTCCATTCAGCATTCAGCACTGAAATGTTTCGGTTAGCAACACATCTGACTAGAATTTAAGGAGGTGAAAAAAAACCCCCAAGGAAAAAGCGAACAAGAAAAAGGGCTGAAGGAATAAAGGAGAGGATGTATTCACAGAGATCTCGAGTATAGCAGAGCTTCTCAATCTTCTTGGCGTGGAATTTAGGACCGTAGGGTATGGTGAAGGTATTGTAGTTGGACACTTCTTGCTCGTTGACCCAATCAGCCACCTCGTCCTCGTGGTCGTCCTTGATGTTGCCGTAGAGGCGGTTCTGACGAGAATGATTCAAGCCGGGGCGTCCTCTCTCTTGGCGGCGCTGGTTGAGGTATGTCTCTCGAACAGTGGAAGTGGGCAGCCGCTCTAGAACAAGGAGGCGCGCAAGGCCAAGTGTCCTCTGAAAACTCCGTTCAAAAATGGTCGGGTCTAGGCGACTACGGTCCAGTTCTGGCCAGTATACCTTTTGGGTTTCGAGTCAGTCAGCGGGGGAGCAACGGCCAGGAACAGGACGGTATGGTCTCTTACCTCGAATCCACGGTGGCTATATTTGGACAGACGATTCTCGTATGAAGGGCTTCGACGGGTAAGGTCAATGTGGTTGACCTGGGTGATGAAGCTCCCCAAAGCTCTCGGCGTGACCCATACTTGTTTGCCGTCGTACGCTGCTCCAGCAGAGTCAATATCAAAGCCAGTCAGGATCTCGCTGACAGATTTGTATACGCGAAGAACAATCTGGAGTTTTTCACCGGCTCGTTAGAAACCACGTTGAACCCGTTAAGGGCGGACGGAGTGAAAGTTGCGTGTGTCTGAGATCTTACCTGAACATGGCGGATGGGATACTGAGAAGCAATGGTAATGGCGTGCTTAGTACGAACAACGGTAACTTCAGAGAGAATAGCGTCGCGAACAGCCCGCTCGATCTGCTTGATCTTCTCGACGGCCTGATCGTGGGTGAGGCCATAGAGGAAAAGGTCGACGTCGGACGCAGGGCAGTACTTCTCGTGGTAATATTCACGCAGCTTCCGCTTGGAGCCTTTGAACTCGGGAGGGGTGGGGAGTAGGCAGTTTACGACGGAAGAGCCGGCAGCGACGACGTTGCTCCAGTCCATATCGGCGAGGGAGGACTCGGAGAAGATGTTGAGGTTGTTGCGGAATTCCTGGAGCGACTGGACAACGGCAGGAGAGCCATTAGCCCTGCGCTTCTCCTTCGTCAAAGGCATCATGTAACGGTCCTTCTCGGCCTGGGACTCTGAAGCCAGATCCCGGGCGCGGGTGACAATCCTCTCGGTGTTCTCGCTGAACAGAGGTAGCACATTGACATGGTGGTCGTCAAGGATGGGGTTCTTGCGGTCCTGGGCAAAGATGGAACGCAGCGCAGCCTCGTACTGACGGTAGGGCTTGATGATCTCGGCCACGGCCTTCTCAGGATGATCGGCGATATAATTGACCAGCTGGGGCAAAGGAGCCGGAAGCTCCTGCACGTGCACCTTGGCGGTGGTCATGTTGATGCGATGGGAAAAACGAACTTGACGAAGCAACGGCAATGATAGTGGGAGGTTCAAAGCAAGAGAGACCAAAGGGGGGCCCGGAAAGAGAAGCTCTTGCAAGGAATATTGGGCGGGTAGAGAGACTGATAGAGAGACTGATGACGAGAGGGCAGCTGTGATGGAGGAGAAGAGGAGGCCGGATCCAACGTCCGAGACCTAATGATAGGTGCCTTTATATTCATCAATTGAGTTGGCAAGCAGGAGAGGCTTTCTGCCTGGCTTCCTGGATCTTGTGATGTGCTTGCTTGCAAAACACGGGAAACGCATGACGGAAAGGATTTCATCCTCGAGGTGCAGACTCCGTTTCTTGTGGTTTTCCCCTCGTTGTGTCGGTGTTACTCTAGGAATAGCGTTCTTGGAACTTCCTCACCGTCTCAGAGACTCCAATGCGCCAACCCCAATTGGGGTCGAATAAGCGGAGGTATATTAGGGGGAGGGGCCGAATCCCCAATCCCCTGTTCTGGGAAGACGCGGTAGAGACGCGCTACCCCTGGGCTTTCAGGGGTGTTTCTGCCTAAAACTGACAGGGATTACTGGGGTCCAGTAACGCGAAGTCCAGTGACTTTGGGTACTGTGGGATCGCTAACGGATAATTTCTGTGTGTCTGCCTGTGAGTACCGGCACCGGACATGACGGCTACGTACTTGAATTGCCTGGATCGGTGTACCCGAGTTCGAGGCTTTATAGGACAGAGCCCGACGACTGGTCAGACTGTCGCAAGTCTTAGAACTTCATGTTAGCAGCTGAGGTAATTATACCTCTGGCTGGCTCTGGTCAGAGCAAGATTCTTTTTTCGAGCTCTGACCTACACCCCCACCCTCGGTACGTATACCCTCGCACCGAGTGTCACTCATCATATTGTCGGGACATGGTGACCAAGAATGTCGAGAGGAAAGCAACGAAAAGAAATGCCATTGAGCAGGCAGGCTACAGGCCAGAAACTCGACATAGCCAAATATCTGTGGTATCTGTTATCTGTTATACAAGCCATGATCCTCCATCTTCATCTTCTCCACGTAACTGTCACGACCGAACTCCCGGACACAAGTACTCTCCCCAAATAAACCATGTTATTAGGCGGCGCTTACCACTCAGAATTGGTTCCGTGCCCTGTTACACTCCTCGAGAAAACGGTAGATCCCCTCTACGCCGTCAGAATCCTGCGAGCAGTGTGTTCCCGAACTGAGCGTGGGCGACGGAGACATGCTCTCGTACCCTTCAGGTTCAGGGTCAGAGAGCCACGGATTCTTCGCCACTTCCGCTTCCGTAAAGCCGTCTCCAAACATACCATCCTCGACCTCATCTTGAAAAGCGGCCCCTTCGACAAAGGCATCTTCGTATCCAGACAGGGACCGTGTGGAGCCGCCCGGGGACGTGATGGTCTTGTCAGCCGCCTCGTTGTCGGGTGCGAACGGGAACCGAAGCGCCATCGAAACGCCGCCGCTAGCGTCAAAGTCGGCATCTTGGCAGATGACACCACGCTGCAGGCCCACGTCCTCGCAGAGCCGCTCCGCCGTTTCGGCGTCGACCCCCGGGAATCGCACCCGAACGGTGTGCGACTTTTCCAAAGTGACCGGCAAGTCTCCCAAGACAGCCAAGCGTCTAAGGTCCGCGAAAATGGTCGCCAAGTCTTTCAACGCCCGGCCAAAGTCCTCCGACAGGACGTCGAGGAAGCCCTCCTGGTTGAGAGTCGCAGCGGCCTCGTCCATCGCCGCAGGCGCCGAGGGGAAAGGGAACGCCGCCGCGAGCGGGCTGAGTGCCGTGATGGTGGGGCTCAGCTGGAAGTCGACGTAGGACCCGGGCGCGAAGCGGGAGAGGCGGGCCATCTTACACCCGACTTCGTGCTCGAGCGCCGAGACGGCCTTGTACCGCTTGTCGCCGCGCTCGTTGAGTCCGTCAAAGCGGGCCTTCTTCCCCGATAGGAGGAAGGCGCGCATCGCGACGCCGACGTTCTGCATCACCTGGGCCGGCGCTGCGGGGGTGTGCGAGAAGTACCGCGCTCCGCCGCCGATGCTGTATCCGCCCTGCGTGCGTGGCATCGCGCCACCCGTCAGATTGGGTCGGAGTGTACTGGCAAAAGGAGCACGTCCTGTGCCCTGAGCGACTTGACGAGCCGTGTTGGACGTTGGGAACTTGGTCCTGTCGAAACGAGGGGCGGCCGGGCCGGAAGTCCCGGAGGAGATCCATCTCCGAACCACGTTCTGTGCATTTTGGTAGGTTTGAGTGGAATACCATCGTCCAGAGCGCTTCTGGCGGAGAAAGGCAGCAGGGTGAATCGGCTGTCCTTTGGAAGATGCATTCCGGAGTTGGACAGGCTGTACCCTGACAGCGCCCGACGAGAGCTTGTTGCGTATCATCTTCGATGCGTTCTTGGTGGCTACGCGGATGAAGCGTAAGGCTACTGGAGCCCACGCACCACCGGATGCAGCCATGTTTGTATTTCTGATCTCTGGGCGAGAACCTTAGAGATCAAGAAATGCCAGATGGGTTGTACCTGGAGGAAGAAGGGGGGGAGAATAGGCCTCCAAGATCCCGGATGTCATCTCCATCTTATCGGGGCCGATAAGACGGGCACTTTGCCACATTCAATCTTATTATCTTATCTACATCGCCACACTGTATCTCACTTGAACCAATAATAAGAGGGCTATCTGCCACAGGTAATCCCGGATCTTTGCACTGCCACGCAGGTACCTTAGGTGGGTGGGGCCAATTCGGCTAGGTTTGGGCTAGCCTCTTTGGTACTAGCTCCATCTAGTGGCCTACCTTACCTTGAAATTCTTCGCTGGCGGAAATTTTCCCAAGCTCGACTTCTCCTTCAACACAACCCGAGAGCTTCTTGCTCTCTTCTCAAGCCGGCAACGAGCCGGCGACACTGTCCATTGCGCGACCTCAAACGCAGCGGACAGTGCATTGGACTCTAGGTAAGCATAGATTTGCTCTTTTTGCATCTTTTTTTTTCCACGCCTCTTTCATGATGACTATCACAATGAACAATCCAAAGCAGACTCAGCACATGGTGACCACCATTCTCTAGAATTTACCCTGACTAGAGCTATCACCCTATTCTTTTGAGTCTGGATACACCATCCAATGCTAACACCTTGAAGAAGTTTGCAGGTCTCTACTTCTCTTTCCTATTGACCCGTATCATTCCGTATTCCGTGTGCTGAAAAGGTTAGTCGCAGCCCACTCGGACTCAGTTTTCCAAGAACAGAAACACAGGACCCCCCCCCCCCCCCCCAAAAAGCTCTTTTATGATGATCACTTCGACACCACAGGGATTCCTCATGCAGAATATATAATGTTGAATCCGGTGCACAAAGTTTCAGCCTTGTCTGACCCAGAGCTTTTTTCGCTTCATCTTCTTTACACGCACTCTGTGTGATTAAGCCTCCCAACTAACTCGAGTGCTCAGGTAACCATCCATCTATTCATCTCGAAGGCTCCAAATTGTCTCCCATGCCGCATATGAGGAAGTTTTGAACGACAGGCGGACAGAATTGAACCGAGTTTGACCGCTCATTAGTAGCAGCGAGGACGTACAAACCACGTGGTGGGCTGTTTTGCTCGGTTTCTTGTTGAACATTCGTCAGCTGATTGCGGTGTTTATCACATTGCCTATCGAGATGATCTTGACAAGGGTTGTTCCCTCAGGCAGATGAGACTAACTAGTGGACAGGTAAACCATATTCGTGTCTTGTTTTAAGTGTCCCTTCGGAGGGAATGATGATCTGTCGAAAATGTATTCACACTGTTTGATCTGGCTCGCTACGGCGTTGCTGGGCATGAAACAATTTTAACACTATCTGACCTTATTGAGGTACTTCCAACCCTTCCAGCCTCGTCGCCGCCGTCCTGGCATGTTATGACTGATCCATATCTATTCACAGTCACTGTCACTTTGTCATCGAATATTACCTCTATGCTCGAGGCAATGCTGACCAGACATCCTCTCAGTAGGTAGATTATGATGGTTGGTATCAACCTGTCGAGCCAGCCCTCTTAAGGTAAGCGGCAATCTCTTTTTTTTGTCGGACGAGTGTCCTTTCTCACATGATGATCCACGTATATTAGCTCTAGCTGAGTTCAACGTGATGAAAAAACTTGTTTCACCTTGGAGAACTGATTGAGAATTTCGAGTCGTTTTTGTCTGTCAAGAAGATATGTATATCTATCCAGCAGCTAACTTGGACTCATTTCAGGCAAATCCAATTCGATGCATGGAGCGTGGTACATAGCGTGAAAAAACAAATATATAGATAGTCATATAATAATAATGATGATAATAAATCCATGGATAATTCCGAGTTCGAGTTCCACACACTTGTGCCGCTGTATGTCATGGATAAGTTCCGTGGGCCTGATTCAAAAGACCTGTCCATCTATGTACTCGACTCTAAAAAGAATCGCCGACATGATCACACCTACCTGCATAAGCTGCTACTCTCCGCGGCCAGTATTCCCTCAAGTCAAGTTGCTCGCTCTATTGCTTCGCTTGCAACTTGGCGTTCCAGCCAACGATACACCGGATCAGATCCCAATCACCGTGGGCGCCCACCCAGTCGGTAACAACGATGCCGGTGCAAGCGTCACCGACCTTGAGCTTCTTAGGCCCCTTGCCTTCCTCGCCGTGACGCATGCACAGGTACTCCACGACAGACGGGTTGACCTTGGCGGCGATACGCTCGGGCCAGCAGGTGGCGTTGAAGAAGTTGGACGCGCTGAGGAAGTTGACGAAGAAAGGGGGCGGCTTCGTGGCATTGTTGTTTTTGCTACCGCTACCGCCATTACTCTTATCGGGACCATTGGGGGTCGGGTGGCGGAAGAGCTGCTCGGCGGCGCGCTCGAGCTGGGCGTGCGAGTAGCCGACCTTGCGCTCGATGTTGGTGCTCTGGTCGATCTCGTAAAAATCCTGGACGCGCACGAGGCCGCCGCCGCACTTGCCGTCCTCGCAGTTGTCGGGCCAGACCGAGGCGTCGATGCCGAAACCCTTGCCGTCGTTCTCCGACTTGCGTACCGAGTCGGCCACGTTGAAGCGGCGCATCAGGACGATCTTGCCCCGGACATCGCCCAAGGTGGGGATGTGGCCGCGCGTCCACCAGCGCTTGGCGTCCTTGCCGTTGTTGCCCTTGATGAAGCGGTCGCGGAGGTAGCGGGACATGTCCTGGTCGGAGGCCTTGCCGGTGCCTTCGCGCTTCAGGGACACGATGATGGCCTCGGACGGGTTGCGGTCCAAAAATGCGTAGATCTCGGCGAGCATATCGCCCAGCCACTTGGTCCCCGTGAGGGAGATGGGGAAGGCAGAGTGCACGAGGGCGAGGTTGTCGTTGTCTGGGGTGGCGGAGACGCGGATGTCGAGGAAGCGGACGCCGTTTTCGAGCTGTTCCGAGACGCCGACGGCCTGGCAGCGCACAGAAGGGAGCGCGGTGTAGCAGGTGGGCGAGTTGTGGGTGCCGGGGATGGAGAGGAGGGAGAGCGGGTACTCGTCCTTGAGCCTCTTCATCCAAGCACTGAGGTCGGACGAAGACAGGATGGCCAAGAAGTCGTGGCGAGCGATGTATACTGCGGTGAGCTCACGCTTGTCGCCCTTGGAGAGGCGCTTCATGACAGTGGACGTGTCGGTGGCGGTGGGTACATCGACCTCGTAGCGTTTGCCTTCGCATTCGAATTGGAGGCGGAGGACATCCTTGCCCTGGACGGGGGCGGAGAACTCGGTAGGTTTCACCGAGAAGGATTCGATCTTGACGTCAACATCCTTGAATGAGCGGGCTTCCCCCTCGGCATGGGTTTCGGTTGTGGTGAAGTTGGTGGCGTTGAGGAAGGAGGTGATGGTGGTAATTGTATTCGTGAAGGCGTCGCCCGTCCTGACGACCTTGCTGTCGTAGCGCTCAGCCCGCTTGAGGGTCAGCGGGAGGTTCGTGAGGTTGCGCACTGTAAGGTTGGGCATGTTGAGGTCCCACAATCGGCGTAGCACGTAGCACGGCGAGGCGGGGAGACGGGGGCCAGGAGATGGGATGAGATGATTGAGGGGTTAAAAGGAGGGGCAGCAGGAGAGGTCCGTTCGAGGATGGATCGCTTTGCGTTTTGCGTCGTTGCGTCGTTGCCAATTGATTACACAATGCTAGATTAAGATGTTTGTATAAAAGAAAGGCACGTCAAGTGGAAGTGTAGCGAGAGCGCAACTGATTCATGGGGCTGTTCCCTTCTTAGCCTGGTTGAAATCGGTGAGAAGGCCGAGGGGGTGTTGTGGGCGTGACATGACAGGGGAGCTCCAAGCTAATGCACAATACAGAGCCAAGCGATGGTGGGCTTTTCACTGAGTAGCTTCGCTATGAAGTAGCTGGATGGTAGCGGCAACTGGCACTGGAGTGGTCCACATGAGTAGGAGCTGGAGTCTAGACTGTGGTGATGGGCCGGCTACGATGCGCAATCGTCATGGTTTGGAGATCCTTTGGTATGCAGGTTAATTAATAGCTAGCGATGTCCTGGGGCGCCAGATTCGAATAGCATTGCCATTTATTTGCGTGTCTGGCCGCCGGAAGAACCGGTAAGACATTTCGAAGGACGGATATGGTCGCTTAATTGCCCTCATCTTACTTTAGGTACAGAGTGCGGATTCGAAGTTGAGGCTGAGCCCCCGGGGTGGGGGGAAGAGGGGAAGAGGGGAAGATGTCAGTACGGATACGAGTTTCTCGGTATCATTGACGGAATTAACGTTAGGGCTCCAGGCACAAGCCGGTAGGTACAGTGGCCTGACAAAAGGGCTGAAGCATTTTACATAATAATTTGCGTGTAAAGTGCTTCGTTCCTTTTGCCCACTGACTGTACGTACTCGTATCAATGTCATACGGAGTACCTACTGGTTATGCGAGCTGATACAAAATGGATCCATTCTGTGACTGTCCGCCGAGTCCGAAAGAAGAAATACGAATGCGGAGGACAAAATAAAATAAACAACACAAGACGGAAAATACAACCGAAATTGAACACAAAAAAAATCAAAAAGAAATGGGCGCCATCCGGGGATTGAACCCGGGACCTCTCGCAAGCGATGCTTTTGGGTGTTACCCTAAGCGAGAATCATACCACTAGACCAACGGCGCTTTCAATCCCTGATTGTTACCAGGGGCTGGTCGACGGAAGATCGGTTGCGAGAATGCCTTCTTGTAGGCATGAATGGATCTCCGGACACTGGAAGTCCGAGCAGACGTGGGGCGGTCGCAAGGGGAGACGGGGGGTTAAAAAAATAAAATAAATAATAAAAAGAGGGCTGCGTGGCTTGGCCGTGTCCGTCACAGGTCTTGAACCCTATCCTCTCATGCGTTGCCCTACGGAATACAGTTGGTTGGGACTTGTGGTTCGGGGATGACTCGGACTCGGCGAGCTCGCGATTCAGGAGGCCTAGGTCGAGATCCGAGCCTTTAAGCGTGCTGGGGCTTACCAAGAGCAGTCACAATCACCGACATGACCTCTCACGACGAATTAAGGAGACGGACGCAAAGTGGCCTTGAACGTGGTCTTGTATGAAGGCAAGGCACAGCAATATCATAGTCCTGCCGGCTGCCGGACCTGATTCTCCTCCGTCAAATTACATCGTCAACAGGCATCTGTCATGAATCGTTACTCCAGCTCGACCAACATCTCCTGGCAGCGAAGAGGCAGAAAACAGACGACGACTTGCGCCAAAGCTCCTAGCTCCTCCTCCTCTCCTCCTCCTCCTTTTATTCGTCGACATAATATGACCCAATGACATGGCAGCTAACACCTTTTCCCAACATACGCCAGTAGAAGGCGCCCCCAGGGCGGAAGCAACTTCTGTCTTCCCGACAGAACAAAAGCATCTCGCTTCGCTTGCTGGCTTCCCTGTGTCATACGTGATCCTTGGCCAACCAATAAGCCAGAGAAAGAAAGCAGAAAAGAAAAAAGGGGTTGCGGAAATAGTCTTTACATGATAGTCATGATGATGAGTCCCTCAGTGAGACCACACAGGTAAATACAAGACAAGACCAATCGACCGTCCTGACTGATCTATAAAGATGTGAATAAATGGGCAAATATATGGTCATGAGATGAGAAAGGGGTAAGTCGAGACAGAGTGTGCCCGGTAGGTCATCGTGATTCCGAGTTTCGTGACCTCTTCGCTGCCGGGAGCTCAGAAGCCAGCTCTGCCTCGGCCAGGCTGCGACGTCTACCCGGCGTCACATTCCCACTAGATCTACCACCGGCACTCCCCGCGGCAGCAGTAGAACCAGAGCCGTCGGGTCCACCGAACCGCTGGTGCTGGTGCTGGTGCTGGTGTTGATGCTGATACTGATGCTGATGCTGATGCTGCCGAGCCTGGGCCGCCATGCGGCTACGAAGCACGTCGGCAATGATAGCCTCAGTGCCGATAATGTTGGACGACCCTTCCACCGTTATACCGGCGTCGACCTCGATCTTGACGGGCCTGGGCCGGCCGTCCTGGTCGATCATGGGGATCCCACCTTCCATGACGGTGCTTCTCTTGAAGGCCCTGACGATGGCGTCCGCGGTCGCCCCGGCCTGTTCGCTGGGGAAATACGGAAGGGCGATGAGGTTGTTGTCGCGTGAGACATTGACGCGGGTGGAGATGCGCAGGTTGATAGGCGACAGCTCCTCCAGCGTGTCTTCCTCCGGGTCGGGCGAAGGGGCTCGCAGGACCGCCGACGGCACGGGGACAGAGAGGATTCGATGGCCCAGTTGGCGGAGGTTGGCGTCGGCGTTGTTCAGCAGCGCGGCGGCCAGGTTCTCTTGCAGGCGGGTGCGCATGGGCGGGGTGTAGGCTGGAGGGGGCTCTGGGCCATTTCCCTCGGTGCCCTCCTTAGGCGCCCCGTCGACGGGCCGAATGCCGCCGCCTGCTACTAAGTCGCTCTGGGGTTGACCCTGAGGTTGCGTCTGAGTCTGAGACAGAGGGCACGTCTGGGGCTGGCGTTGTAATGGCGATTGCTGGCAATGCTGTTCTTGTTGCGCTTGGGAGCTCATGGTTGTGCAAGAAGTTGGGGAGCGATAGCGCCTCTCGGGACAAGGAGTCGCAGACATCATCGACGTCGTAGACGCTATGTTCGACTGGAAGAAGTCGGGGGAGGGAGAGGAGAGAGGGGAGAGGGGGAAAGGGGAGAGGGTTCCGTGGTTCAGATATCGTCTTGGCAGATTTGACTGCCTGGCTGGCCGAGAAACTGGATGCCAATGGAGGCCTTCATGCAAATAGGCGGCAGTTTAGGAGGGGCTCTTGACCAGATAGATAGATCTATGGGCTTGACCGGCTTATGGGTGGCAGCAGTAAGATGACCTCAGTTGTGAAGGGATCATGATATATAAGCTTCTCAGGTCCAGATCTGAAGTACTAGTCAAAGATATTAGGGCAAGGCGATGGTGGCATGGGAAGAGGATCTGAGGCTAGAGTCGCGGGGGCACGGCGGAAGAAATAGGTTCGCGGCGGGCTGGGATCATCTTGTTATTGACAACCTGGAGGAGAGGCAGTGGACGAAAGTATTATGAAGACTACAAACAGCCGGTGTATACAGAGTACATCCTGCGAGGTTGGGTATTCGGTGTTATGCCGTTCGCATGTGAGGAGAAACAACCGTCACCTTGATTTTGGCTACAAAGAAGAATGTGATCCTGAATTTTGAGTCCCTAGTGTTTGTTCAATCCACTCGGCCGGTAAAGGGATGCCCTTAGGGCACTACGCGCACCAAATTGAGACGGCTCACAATGGTTCCATAGCTATCGTCATCCCGTCATCCAACAAGGATAAGTCGAGGAACTGTTGTCTGTCTACCTTGGGACTTCGGGTGGGTTGTTCATGATCCCCCAGTTGGTGGGTCACAGCTTGCTATTGTTGTCGATGTACGGTGGGGCTCGGATCTATTGTCCCCCGAAAGCGGCTTAGCGCCCGATGAGCGACCCGTCCACTTTGACCCGCTTTCTGGGGCCGGGTGGCAGGCGGGTTGACGGACGCGGGTCCCAAGCCCCCGGTGTCTCACACATCCAAAACACCATTCATTCGGTCATATCCCCGATTCTCCTCAGTAAATAACCGTATTTGACTTTATCCCGAATGCAGAAGGGAGCACGGAGTAATTCAGCTACGTGCCCCCCTACCTTATTCAACCTGTCCCTGACTCACGACGTTGCAGTTTACTGACTCGGCCGTTCTCTATCCCTAGTCGACCCTCGGAGGTTTCCTTATCCCCTCCTCCTTTCTCATAGGGAAAGAGCTGATGCACTTCACCCCAAGATTTCCACTGCATGCTTGTCCCCTCTTGACATTCAAATGAGGGATGAGGTGCCACAACTCCGCCCTCGCACGCGATCACGACCCTCTCCCCCGGGACAGCAGACAGCACGACAACACACCACTATGACACTACCTGGCACACCATAACTACCATGTGCAACATGTGATAGTTTGTTCACAGAATACGCTGCAAATTCGCCCATGCTGCATGCAGACTCAGCACAACCACCGTGAAAGCTTCACGCACTGCCCTCATCTCGATTTTCGGAATCTCCCAAGCGACAGTCCTTGCAAGTTGGTTCGATGATGACCAGCCACATGAATATGCACTTGGAACGACCGGTCGGCTGGGGATCGAATACTTCATCCAAGGCAATCGGAAATTTCCGTCGGCGTCTGTCTACTAATGACTAACAAACTTGTTGTTTCCTCCCAAGTCCCAAGCTTTTTTCTCATCTCCCTCATTCTATCCTAGGGGTCTCTGCTTTGGATACTCGACACCTCGAATAATGCCGCAAAATTTCCTTTGCGCGCCCATTGTCCTTCCTTCCTGGAACGCCTCTACCTGATAGGGGGATCCTGAGCACCCTTTCCCGGTCGTTCGTGGAATCATGGTATCATGTATGTCGCGATCAGGCCAGCCCAGACACCGTAACCTCCATCTTCCCTGGCTATCACCGTTCCCACCTATCCTATCTAAGACAAGGAGGACGTTTTTGTATCAAGTTGTATGACTTGGGTTCGGCGGTTCGGGCATGCACTGGGGCTCTTTCCCACCATGACCCGAGCCTAGGTAGGTAAAAAGCGACCCGGGGCATCAATATGACACCCAGCCGTGACAACTATAGAACCGGCACGGCCCTCTCCCTTATTTTTCTTCTTCTTCTCCTTTCCGCCGACAATGTGCCCTCCCTTGTCCCCTCCCATTAGATGGGCGGCAATCCTGCAAGTCGGACCAATGTTGGCTCTGCTTGCAACCCTCCACCATCAAATTACTCCTCTCGCTTACATTGAAAGTTGAAACCTTCAAAGCAACCTTGCACCACCTTCATCAGGGAGTAGGAGCGACATGCGTTGACGACGGTAGTCAAACATAGGAATAAGGGATACACGGAGACCAGCCTCAGATGCCTCAGATCTCCCAGCCTCATCCGTCAGTATAAAGGCATGGTATGACGATATGAGAGGCACCGGGATGGGGGAGGCGCTTAGCCTCGTAGGAGAAAAAAAAAGTCCCACACCTCTCTGTTAGTCTTTATACAACCGGCCGGAGGCGGGTATCGCAGAGAGAGGAAGAAAACACGACGAGAGTGGGACGGATTATTCGGAGACATTTATATTAGCAAGGGCACTACTACTGCTTATGGCCATACAAATGACCACCGCCATAACCCAAACGTGTTCGCCAGCGTGCCTCAAGCATAGCCGTCTCCAATAGTTCCTTCCGTAACGGCCGAGTTCCTGACTGAAAAATATCGGCCGGATAACCAGGAAAGAAAAGACCGTTGAAGTTCTTTCGTTTCCCCGTTAACGCCGAATGTACCATGTCCTCCTGTGTATTGTCCCATCCGGACAATGCGAATGGGTATAATGCTAAATGCATTGCTTGGTTTTGATGAAAATGCAGGAATCGCTCCGTTATGTCTTTGTTGAAAGACGCCGCCACTCCGATCCATGTCCGATGTGATTTTCCTCCCGAAAGTTTTTTTGCCCCGCCGCTCGTTGCAAAAAAAAAAAAAAAAAAAAAGGAACCAAGAAAAAAGTCAAGAACATGCCATTGCCTTAGCCGTTAGATGGCTAAAATCTGGGATTCGTTGAGAACCATACGCCGAATTTGATAACCTGCCCAAGTCGTCTTAAAAAAACAAAGATGAGATCGTCTATTCATAGCAGAAACGGAAAGCTTGTTGAACGCTCCCCGATGAAGCCTCGGCGGAAACCCCTTAGAAGGTGAGGGGCTTGGGCTGCTCCCAGGTGAAGCTCTGGTTGGTGCCAAAGTGGCCGTTCTTGGCAGTCTGGAGGTAGATGGGACGGTCCAGGCTGAGCTCACGGACGATGACACCGGGCCGGAGGTCAAAGTTCTTGTGGATGATCTCGACGAGCTCATCCGAAGTCTTCTCGGAGGTGCCATAAGTGTCGACGTAGATGGAGAGGGGCTCGGCAACACCAATGGCATACGAAAGCTGGACGAGAGCACGACGGGCCAGGCCGGCGGCAATGAGGGACTTGGCGATCCACCGGGCGAGGTAGGCGGCCGAGCGGTCGACCTTGGAGAAGTCCTTGCCCGAGAAGGCACCGCCACCGTGAGCACCCCAGCCACCGTAGGTGTCGACGATGATCTTACGGCCAGTCAGACCGGCGTCACCCTGAGGGCCACCAATGATGAAGAGGCCGGAAGGTTGAATCTGTCAAAACGTTAGACATTTCAGATGCTCTTGAAAGGCGGGCAATGGCAGTGACATACATGGTAGACGGTCTCGTCGTCGAGGTACTGCGCGGGGATAACCTTCTTGATGATCTTCTCCTTGATCTCCTTGCGCAGCTGCTCGGTCGTGATGTCGGCGCTGTGCTGGGCGGAGACAACGACGGTGTGGACACGCTGGGGAACGACGGCACCGTTGTCGTGCTTGTACTCAATGGTGACTTGAGTCTTGGTATCGGGGCGCAGCCAAGGCAGGGACCCGTCGCGGCGGGCAGCAGCCATGGCAGCATTAAGCTGGTGGGACAGGAGCAGGGTCAGGGGGAAGAGCTCAGGAGTCTCATCGGTGGCATAGCCGAACATGATACCCTGGTCACCGGCACCCAGCTGCTCGAGGGCCTGCTCGTAGTGGAGACCCTGAGCGATATCGGGAGACTGCTCCTCAATGGCGACAAGAAGGTTGAGAGTCTTGTAGTCGAATCCCTTGGAGGAATCGTCATAGCCGATACCCTTGACAGCCTCCCGGACAACCTTCTGGTAGTCGAGCTTGGCCTTGGTGGTGATCTCACCAAAGACCATGATCATGCCGGTTTTGGTAGCGGTCTCGCAAGCAACCTTGGAAAGGGGATCCTCAGCAAGGCAGGCATCGAGGATAGCATCGGAAACCTGGTCGGCAATCTTGTCGGGGTGACCCTCACCGACAGACTCGGACTATGTAAAAAGAGATTAGTTTGCATTCCGCTACTCCGGCGTAGCAGATGCAACGCCGCTTTGGCAATGGAGGCACGAATGGGCACGGGAAAATCTTACGGTGAATAGGAAAGTACCCTCCCTGTGCTTGGGGATACCATTGGTGCCGTTGGTGGAAGACATCTTGGAATATGTCCGAAGAGGAAGTTGCGGGGGGTGGGGGGAGGAGGAAAGGAGAGAAAACGACGCGTAAAAGGTGAAGGGCTGACGTGTGCGTTGAAGGAGAGATTAGGAGGAGGAAAGCAAGCAAGAAGGATGCCCTCGACACTGGTATGAAGTGTATGGACACGTGTAAGATTTGGGGCGCAAGGTGCAGAATGAGAGATATAATGAGGAGGAGGCGGACGAGGCAGAAAGGGGATCCTGAGATTTTAAAGGCAATTGGGAGGGGCACCGGTTTGAGGAGATGTAGAAAAAAGCGAACTGGGGGTGGGGGAAGAAATCTTCCTTATTAGCGACAGGGACCGGAACAAGGAGAAAGCTTTTGGGTGCTCCTGGCGCATCTCTTGTTGATGGAGGGGTATTAGGTACATCTCCTAGGGTCCGGTCGCCGGAACTCTGTTAGAGGGGAACTGAGTTTCCACCGCTGGAATAGCTGAATAGCTGCACACTTGCTGTACTTCTTAACAGAACCCCTCCTTACTCCCGGCTAGTCCAATTCACTTACGACCCACTTTAGAAATTGCGCCATTGGCTAAAATGGACCCGAGTTTTGAGGCACATAAGGCACGCTGTACCTTATCTCACCGCCTTCCCCACGTGTAGGTACGTACTGGGTAAATCCATCAACTCATTCCGTAGGGTAACTTTGCAATGATTACCTAGGAGGTTGGATGCGGGGGCATCTGCTTATCGCGACCTGTCCGTGCACGAGGGGCTGCTGGTTTTTTTCCCCCAGCCCTTCATGACATGATGATTCCGTACCTGCCTGTCGCGCAAGCAGCCACCAATCACTACTCCATTGACCTACCAGAAAGTTTGAGAGCAATTCGATCTTCAGTTATTTGATTCCCTCGGCCAAGGCGTCTTAATACTGTCTATATTCCACTATACTAGAATCTTTCATTGGCCGCTGGCTTTTATACCAAACCATCCATTCTCCCATAATACCATTGTCTATCTGTGCCCATTTGGTCTGCGGGCTGCAGGGTGTCACCTCCGAATAACTCAGTTCATTCCATACCTTACCTTACCTTACGGATAGGTAGCGGAAGATCTGACACCGGCCTATGTCGACCTGCCTGCCAACCTACCAATAGGCCTCCTGACCAACAGATTTGGGGGCTAATGTAGTTGGCCCGGACGCCCAAGCCACACAGTATCGTTAGCAATCCTACGAAGTAGACAATCCTTCAACCGTACTCCAACAATGAGCAAGTTCGGCGTTATGGTAATGGGGCCCGCAGGGGCAGGCAAGGTACGAGGAATTCCAGAAATCTTTTATGTTTCGTCCAACATTCGCAGGTTCGTCCGCTGACGGAGATGCTCTCTTCTTCTCTATAGTCCACCTTCTGCTCCGCCCTCATCACCCACCTGACACTCAATCGACGCTCTGCCTTCTATGTCAACCTGGATCCCGCCGCGGAGTCCTTCGACCATGAGCCCGACCTCGACATCAAAGATCTCATCTCCCTCAAGGATGCTATGGAGGAGGTAGGGCTCGGCCCCAATGGCGGCCTGATATACTGCTTCGAGTTCCTAATGGAGAATCTTGACTTCCTTACCGAAGCCCTCGATTCCCTGACGGAAGAGTACCTCATCATCTTCGACATGCCCGGTCAGATCGAGCTCTACACGCACATCCCTATCCTCCCCGCCCTCGCCCGCTTCCTGAGCCACACTGGTTCACTCGATATCCGTCTTTGCGCCACATACCTCCTCGAAGCTACCTTCGTCGTCGATCGAGCCAAGTTCTTCGCCGGCAGCCTCAGCGCCATGAGTGCCATGATCATGCTGGAGATACCTCACCTCAATGTTCTTTCCAAGATGGATCTCGTCAAGGACCAAGTCCGCAGGAAGGACCTGAACCGCTTCCTTACGCCGGATTCCACCTTGCTAGACGATGATCCGGCACCGGGCGCAATCGGCCGCGAGCCTCGCTCGACGACAGAGGACGAAGACGACGGGAGCGGTAACGCCCACGAGCGGGACCTAATCATGCGCGGGGCTAGCTTCAGGAGGCTGAACCGGGCCGTGGCAGGGTTAATCGAGAATTTTAGCATGGTGAACTACCTGAAGCTCGATGTGTCTGATGAGAGCAGCGTCTCCGCCATCTTGAGCTACATCGACGACATTATCCAATATCACGAGGCGCAGGAGCCCAAAGAACTAGGGGATGACCAGTTCGAGGAGCCACCAGAGGAGAGCTAGATGCTCAACACATTCTGAAGCTCTTGAGCTACACCGGCTCCACAGCCTATAGTGGATTTGTATCAAATGTTGGGCTTGGAGAAGATCACAATTGCATAGCGACGGCGTCAGGAAGGTCATGTTGTTCTCTTCTTTGCCATCGTGAATGTGGGACATGGGGACACATCACCACAAAACAAAATACCATCACGTCTTTTCAATGAGATTTGCTCATGTTCCCGTATCACGTCGTCCGTAGCTAGTTGTATTTCGCGGCACAGGGCCTGTAGACCCAAGCTCTTCAACAGTCCAATGCCGTTGAGTCCGGAATCCGACCGCATGCTTTAGTGCATCGCGTCACTCCTTTAGACCCCCCGTGTTGCGGGAAGTAATGCACCTCTGCCAACCATCCAATCTTTGTCAGTTTGCTTTTCCATCCCTGTAGTTTACTGGCCCCGAAACCGAGCCCTATTTCATACAGTATACTTCCACTGTGAACATGCTGCTGGCTATCCCTTCTCAAAAGTGTAAAAAAGAAAAAAAGAAAAAAAGAAACAAAAAAGACGAAGCCCCAAAATCGTGTTGGTCGAGCCCAGCCACCGGGGACTCCGCGGGAATTCGTTCTTCATCGTGTTCGTATCCTCACCTCCGTCCCTGTACCTTAGCCTCCTCCTCATACCTCCTAAATTCGCGGAGCCAAACGTCCTTCGCAACAGCGAGGAAGCCGACGACCTTCCCGCCGAAAACGACGACGTCCTTGAAGGTCTCGTAGAAGCCGTTCCTAACCACGACGGACGCGAGGGCGATGACGAACGACCAGAACACGGCGCGCAGGACGAGCCGCGTCGCGAAGGCGGCGAGGCGGCGGATCCAGCCCAGCACGACCCAGGCGGCGGCCAACGAGAAAGCGAACACGGCGAGGGAGGCGAGCTCGGGCGACCGCGACAGGACGGCGAACATGGCGTCGATGATGGGCGCGAAGAAGACGTAGGCTACGGTGAGGATCTTCTGCAGGTAGACGGCGCTGTGGCGCTTGAAGATCTGGACGGGGGAGTGCGGGTGGAGGGTCGTCTTGTGGATGAAGTCGAGGGTCTCCGGGGAGAAGAGGCCTTCCAGGAGTGTTGTTAGCGAGGGTTCGTCTTTGGCTTGCGACACCGGCATCTTGTGCTATGTTCTGTGGTGGTGCTGGTGCTGGTGGTTCTGGGTCGGTGCGTGGTTGTTCGCTTATTTGTCTCGTCCGGATGGGGAGAGAGACGGCGATATTGAAGGGTTCGAACGGAGTCGGTGTGCTCGGGTTTGGTCGGGAAGGGGGGTTGAAGTAGGATGGAGAATGGCTGAGAGAGCTCAAAAACTCTTGAGATCTCGAGACGTCCAACCATGTATTTGTGCTTTCGTGGGAAGGGTGATTGACGTGTTGTTGGGGGGAGGATATGTGAAGGTTCGTGGATGGCAGCATTGGGTCTGATTCTGGGTGTGGTGTCCTGAAGTTCCTCGTGGCAGAGGTCTGCTGTCGATAAGGCCCCGCAGGTGGACTCTGATAAGGCGCCAGCTTTGGACCGTACCGTACCTTAAGGTACCTTACCTTGCCTTACGGACAGTTGTACCACATAACTGAACGACACAACACCAACACCACCACGCCAAAGACGATTAACTGCAATGACAAGTAAAACTCACCAGAATCGGCCAGCCGATCTCCAAGCCAATAATCCGTTACATCCATGGTACCAATGCTGCGTGCGCGTCGGACAGAAAATATATTCCGTACCTAAATCTCTGTCTCCGGATTGTCGTCGAATTGCTAGTTGCTAGACAAGGCCTGAACTGGTACGAGTATAAAGGAAATATGCAGGAACAGAAAGAGATTTATCAGAGGGAAAAGAAGAAGAATAAGAAAGGGTTAACAAAGAAAGAAAAGGGGGACAAGGCACTTCTTTCTAATCGTGCATAACAAGCTGATCTTCAGTTCGAATCCCTCCCCCCAGTAAGACAGACCGCTCCCCGGTGAGTGTCCCCTACCTGTACTTCCGTCCCGTCCACAGTGCCAGTACTGAGCATTTTGCTTAATCCTCCCCGCCAAGCTGGTGGGACGTCTCCTCCATGCTCAATACCCGTCCAGCAGTGTCATTCTGCCCTATTAGTCTGTTCATTGAATCCCCGAGACCCAGTGCGAAGAAATATCGCGTCCAGTAAGTCGCGATGACCGCCGGAGCGTAGGCCCGGTGCTTGTGGCACTGTGTGAGGGGATATGTATACACTGTCCCTATGTTGGAGAGCTTATGATACTCGTATGCTCACTGCGTAATACGTACAGTGCGTCCGTGGTTCTGCCAGTACGAAGTACTTCCTTGATCTGCCGAGCCTAAAGATGCAAGCGATGTGGGCCCGGGATGTCCCTGTACGCACCTGGTGCGTTCGTAAGGTAATCGACGGGAGACAGAGGCACTGTACTCCGTACGTCCCGTCAACTCGTACGGAGGGACACTGCGCTTAATAAGCCCTCCATCAGAAGAACAGACAACGTTAGAAGTTCACCTTCAACTGGCATTTGATACATCTCTGCTGTGCTGGTTGTGAATCATCCTGCCCCTTTCTGTCTTGACTGTAACTCGGTTTACCACTCAATGGATTAATGGGACAGACACCATTGCATAGATAAGTGATTAAAGGTCTTTTCCTTTGGCTCATTAACCCCCAATCTACATTAACAACCACATAATGCCCGCCCCTCGATGACCCATCATGTACACCGTCACACCGTCCAGTATATCATCAGTCGATGCAGGACAACCATTAAAAGGAGCAAATATATATACAGCTGGGAATACAGCTTGCCGCCCAAGAATCATGAAGTGGGCCGACCTAGGCCGAAGAGGAGTAAAATACAAAGAATCAAGGTCCTGAACACCCTTATCGCTTGGGTAGGGACTCGGCACGAGGATAGGGTATCGAAGAAAAGAATAGAATAAAAAAGGAAGGAAAAGGGAAGGAAAAATTACGGAGAAAGAGAGAAGACGTCGTCCAACGGAGTGTTCCTGCACCTCCAGTTTGGTTCTTTGCCCCAAACATCATCCCATGGACCTTCTCCCTCTAGCCCCATGGGACAGGTTCATTTGACATTTAACATTATCAGTCCGGCGTGCAAACAAGAACAAGAAAAGAAAACAAAAGACCCGCTGTGGCTAACGTAGCCTTCTAACAAGCAGGAGCACGGGAATCAGAACTAGGGCATCTGGCAAGACAAACAGAAAAGAAAGGCAAGAAACTCCCAAGGTGTAAAAGCAACCCGGAGCTGCTGACGGAGTGACGGAGGGCATGGTCGTCAAGGGGATTCGTCTCAGAGTGAGCCAGCCGGAGGGTCCATTCCGTCCAGGAGACGTTTCGCCTCGAGGATCCGCCGTCTATACATCCGTGCTTCGGGGGAGGCCTTCCCCGATTCGCTTAGAGCCAGCACGCATCTGCCCAGACTGGCCACGAGGCGTTCGACCAGAATCCGGTCATCCCTTGGGAGCTGCTGAATGGCCGTCGAACCGCCGACACCACCTCCCCTTTCGCAAATGCTGGCCGTTTCGCTCATGAGGCTGTCCGAAACATTCTTGAGCGCTTGGTCCGGCGAGCCTTGCGGGGTGCCTTGCGGGGTGCCTTGCGGCGTGAGCACCCCGACGCCGTTGACCTTGGGTTTACTGACCAGGGGAAAGCTGCGTTGCGTCCCCATCGAGTCGAACGATGACACGGAAGGCCGGTTCCTAGTCGTGTTTGAGCCGTTGAACGGCCGCGAGTAAATCACCGAACTAGCCCGCTGCCGCGTAGCCGGGTCGTGGTGCAACTCTCCATGGCGGATTTCGCGGCTAGAGCTGGACCGTGTCGACGGGGGCGGTGTATTCGACCGAGAGCCGGTGCTCTGAACATTCTGGTCAGCTTGCCCAGAAACGTCGTCTTCTACGCTCGTTAACCGGCTGGATCGGCCCTCTGTGGCAGTCTCGAATGTATCCATGGTCGCGATAGTGTCGCCACTGCCTCGTCTCCCATGGGTACCCCCGACTTCAGGCTCAGTCTCAACGACAGGACCCCGCGTTGTCTCGACCGACTCTTCAGATGTATAGCTGCTAGAACTCCCTCTTCGAGTCAGCCCGTGCTGGCTGAAGGATCCCATGGCGCTATGCAAGAAGAAGTGCTCGTAATCGAACGCATCTTCACGGTCTTCGTGCGAAATAGGCACCTGGGGAGCGTCATGGTAAAGCGAATCTCCGCTGGCGCTTTCAAGGTCGCTACCGGCCAAGTTCTGGTCGGCGTCCTCATATCCGTCTTCAGTTCGCATATCGCTGATATCGTCCTCCACATCGTCCTCCCTATCGTCCTCCCCCGCATCGATGTCACTGACGTCTCCACTGGCTTTCGCCTGATGGACGGTCCCCCGAGCGGCCGCATCCTCGCTGATACCCGGCTCCGCGTCGTAATCCTGAATCACAGAGGCTCTCTCCGCGTCGTGAGCCTCGACGGTATCGCGTGTCTCCCCGACAGCCACAGTTTCTTGAATCACTTGAGCTTCCGGTGAGTGCGGTTTGTCATCCTTTTTGGGGACCTCGCCATCGACGCTTTCGAGTTCGCCGTTCCAGGGGCTGCGGCCCAGAGGTGCGACTCCAACACTAGGCTTGATGAGCCTCGTAGGCGCGGCGTACCATTGATCGACCTGGGCATGGGTGAAAGGGCTCGGCGTTCTCAGACTTTGCAGGCTTCTCCGCTTCATGGTGTCGGCACGGGCCTGTTCTCGCAGGGATGATATCTTGCCCTTAAGATCTTGCATCTGGTCCTTCAGATCTCGCACCTGCATCGCGGATGTTGCTCGGATCCACTCCCTGTCCCTATGGGCCCCGAATGTCGGGCTGAGGAGATTCCCCGTACTTGCACTATCCCGGTATGGACGCGTGTCCGACCCCGAGCCGTCCTCGCTTAGCGGTTCTAGCCCTCCATCAACGTAGTGGTGAGGGGGTCTCCCACGTAAATGGCCTCCGACAAGATCACCCATGCTATACGAGCCGGATAATGGCTGGCGGTAGCCTCCGGCTGCGCCAAGCGCACTCGCAGATCTCCGAGTCGGCACGCCGGAGGGGTCGGGATTGAGGTTGTCGTTCAGAATTGTGCGTCCCGGAGCGGAGTCTGGGGAAGCCGAGGAAATGGATCTTATCATTGGGGGAGAAGGTGTGGCGGAACCGATCGAAGAGTGGGACGAGGAACTTGTGTGTAGAGAGCTTCGCGCTCTTGTCAAGTTGCCCTCCATCGTCTGAAAAGAATGAAAAGGTTAGTTCAGGCACTCAGACGCCGACTACTTGCCGGGCGTGAATCCCGCCGGGGTTTGGGGTGGAAGGGAACGTACGGTAAGACGCATCTTAGCGTTAGCTAGAATTTCCTCGGCCCTCTCGCCGATGGACACTGTCGAATGCCTATTATCACCATCCAATCCTGCGCCGTGAGGTTGAGGCAGAAATTTCGTTTGTCGCACTGTCATGTCTTCTGCGGTGGACTCTGCGATACTCTCCTCGTCGTCGCCCTGGAAATTGCTGTCGTCGACACTGACAACGTCGTCAAAATCGGCAAAATGATCGGCATGGTCTCGCATCGTGGTGACGGTGCTGTTGGACCCGGTCGAGTTGCTCCTGTTCAAGTGGGTTTTTGATCGCTTCCTCAACTCGTCGTGGCGCCTGGTGGGTGAGGAGGCGCGTGCCGGCACATCGAGCTCGCTGTCGCTGTCGTTTCGGCCTCGACCGCTGATATAGCGAGGTGAGTTGGGACGCAGCGGTTTCCCCGGCGTGCTCTCAACCTCAGTGACCTCCCCGATATCTGATAGCATGGTGCCGTTGCCGTAAATGATGGGGGTTGTAGGAGTGGCGGGCCCTGCGATGTAGGGATTCTGGAGGGAAGGATGATACTGCAGGTCGGTTGTCTGTGCGTTCTTCCACATGGTAAGTGGTGATTCTGAGCGCTCTAGCGAGCATGTATCATCATAGTCGGGCAAGATCATGTCGGGATTGGTCAAGGTAGGTGAGCCGGGCGCTGGAGGGTACGATATGGACATTGTCGAGCTGTTGTTGGAGCCCTGACGGGCGTGGACCGCGTGGGTCGCCATTGCTTCGGCTGTACTCTTCCTCTCGGACGGTCGTGTCGCGTGTTCTGCTTCCTAGGTGTCCCACGCGCCTGTAGCGCAGCGGCGCAAAGGCGCAAACCAGCAAATTCGGGAAAATGCGACAGATTGTGTTCGATCGATCAGAGTGTGTCGGTAGAATGGGGTAGAATGGATGTCGAATGGAAGAAAGGGTTGGACCGAGTGGCAGGTCGCAATGACTGTGATGACGAGAATTCAGTCGACACTACCGGTGAAAGACCAAAATGTCTGGCGGAACTGACGGTGTGCTGCCGGTGGGAGGATTCATCAATTATTAGGTGCAGATAGACGAATTTGTTCGTTAAGTGTGTTGCTGGAGGGGAGGACGTCAACTTATTCCCAAGGTCAGTTGGTCAGGGGTCTTGGTCATTTATTGTATTTTTTTTTTTTGCTTGATCTTGTTGCGAGAGATGTTTCTCCAACGTTCTCCTTCCTTGCTTTTTTGAATACTCGAGTTGACTTCTCCAAGTCCAAGGCGCGACACGAACGACGCGCTGTCAGTACTTCCGTTCTCCGTCTTTTTTTTTCCTCCTGCCCGCCCAAGGTGTGCGACGCAAGGGGAAGGAGGGAAACGCTGATCAAAAGAAAAAGAAAAGGCGAATCCGGGTCGAATCAATGCTTGTAAAGGCGAGACAATTCGGCGGACACCGACAGGAGGGATGAGTCCGGATGCAGATGGGTGCGATGCAGCAGGTATGGAGGTGTTATTAGAGGGAGGAATGGATGTTGGAAGCTGTCTGGGCCTTTGTTATCCCTAGAGGAGTCGGTCCTCGGAGTCGGTGGCTTCTAGCCCACTTAAGTGGATCTAGGAGGTACCTGTAACCTACCTTATTACGTGTAGGTACCTGAGTTACGAAGTAATTTACTTCGTACACGTAAGGTACTACGGATACTAGTACAAATGTGAGGTATCTACGAAGTTGGGAGTACCATTGTTCATGAACCAAGTTTATTACAGGTAGCGTCGGCTCTTGTGTCTCTCTCCCACGGGGTACCACTTTCACAGTGCTCAGTGCTGTAATAATAATTAGTTCTTTTGGGCTCCAGGTTCTTAGATTCGGTTATACGAAGCGACTCGCTCGTTCCTGCACTCTTGTTCGTCATTTTCTTGAAACCTGGTCATCATTCCTGAGTTACGTACGGACGACTAAGGGCAGGTCCGTCTGTCCACTGTGCTTTTCTTGGGGACAGGATACCGGGGAACAAGATTGATGAGTTCTCCCCCCTCATTACGAAGGAAGAACTCGAACCTGATCTGGCATCCGGCCAATAGGTAGACATAAGTGGAACGGCTTGCTTCGAACTAAGTATCTACCTAACTTCTGCATGATCTGCACGTGTAGAAATATTCCTCCTCTGATTTCCTCAACTCATGATTAGCAAAGCGTCTTCAGGCTGTGTTTTCTTTTAGGACATCGATGTCGAGCAGGAGCCAGAAGAGTGAATAAACAAAGTGTTTGGGCTTCCGAGTAATCAGAGAGCCCATCGAACCATCGCGCCAATCCTAGGTATCAAATGCTGCCAGGTCTGTACCCGTATATCCCATCCCCGACAGAATTGGAACGCCCTGGCACTGAAATTTCTAACTCTTCGATGAAGCATCGTAAAAAGCGACCAACTCTCTCAACCTTCAGTAAAGGCCTCGCTTTTGGCTTGGGCGATGCTGGGGTCCTCGGTGCCGTCTTCCTTGGTGGCAGGGCGATTCGCGATCAGACGCTACCCCGTGTCAGCATCAATTTCTCCATCAATTGAAGTATATATCGGGGGAAAAGGGGGGAACGAGTAGGAAACATACCACCAAGTTTCTCAGCAACACCGCGATGGTCACTTTGCCCACCGAAGGCACGTAAATAGATGCCTTCTCTTTGATCGCCGGGCCATCAAAATTGCGGAACGACGAGAAGTTGATGCAGACAGCGCCTTCCCGGATGAGCTCCGTGGGCACCTTGTAGTTCTCGGACGGGACACCGCCGATGATGACATCGCTGTGAGGAAGGCACTGCTCCAGACCCCAGCCCTCCTTATCCCGGACCTGATGCCGCGGTTGCTTGATGCCCTGGCCTCGGGTGAACAGCTGCACCCCGGTGATGTCTACCGAGTAGACGGTAGCACCGTCGTTGGCGAGGAGCGCCGCCAGCGGCCTTCCGTTCACCTCGGACCTGTTGATCACGGTAATGGTCTTGCCGTACAGTCGGTTCCCATAGGCAAGGATCGGGTTGTAGATCTGGAGATACTCCAGGATCTTCACAACGGCTAGCGGCGTGCAAGGGAGGATCGACTTCTTGAGGTTGTGGGGCGGATCGAGGAAGCGGACGTTGTGGTACATATTATACAAGTGCTTGTGGCAGAGACCTTCGACATCCTTTTGCAGCGACACCGTCTCCTGGATGTACTTGTCGTGAGTCGGGTTCCCCGGGAAGATGGGATAGTAGACGATCATCCCGTCCACGCAGTCGTCTTGGTTGGCTTCGGTGATCTTCTCCTCGAGTTCTTCCTTGTCCACCTGGCGAAGTTCAAAGTCAAAGTCGCTGGGTGCGTTCCGGGAAGGTTAGTTCGGGCACGTTCCAGACGCCAAAAAGGCAACACGCGTGAAACGATTCGGATACTATGTAAATATATACTCACTTCTCTTGGCATGTCTTCTGTGACCACTCAGCATACTTTAGAGCAGCGGGATCATCGTTGGCCAGAAAGGCTGCTAGCTTGGGTCTGCGGTCGACATCTCCCTGGATCTTGTTGAGGGTGTCTTTCACCTCGGCCAGTAAGCCCTTGGCGATAGTATCGGCCATGATGACCTTGCAGGTCTTGGGTACCTCATTGTTGGAGGCCATGTTGCTTTTGTCTCTAAGGGGCTAAGAATGACTATTCAGTTCAGAAGTTCATCAGCCCTGTCGAATCCCACTGCTTCACATAAGACAAGAGTCTGCGCTTCCTCTTCTAATGCGTACTTGCCGCGCGAATACACTTTGTATGACTGACAGTTCCTGGATCGGATGCCCCACTATCTTCACCTCAGGTTAAAGATACCAGGTAGAGCTGCTGCGTCGAAAGAGTGAGTGTCCAAAGGGAACGGCGAAACAAAGTAGAGACCGAGCTCCGGCAGTAGTGCGTAGAGATCCCCCAAAGCTGAGGACAAGTCAATACCCGTGCACAAATAAACTCAGAGTCTCAGATGGGACGGTATACTCGTGATGGCAAAGGAGCAAACAGCCCTCCGATGACTTTTACGGATACGAGTCACTTTGCATCCATGGAGGCCTTTGTCACTTTGAGTCCCCCTCCCTCACCTTACTGGACAATGCCATTCCCCACCTAGAAGCGTAATAAGAGAGAAAAAAAAAAATTCAGGGCCTTCCTCGTGCTCCTCCTCAATGTACAGTTACAGTCAGTCACTCCGACGGAAGTTGCCCCTCTTACTGGATATGGTCTAGCGTCTCGCTTAGCCCATCAACCCTCCTGACGTCAGTGTACGAAGTAGTACATGGCTACCTAACTGATTCAGACACGACGCCCTCATTGTCGGGAGTTCTTCTTGCAGAGACAGAGGACTAAATATAAAATACTTGATTACCGGAGAGTTGCTATGTGATATTCCTTTCTTATCGTAACTTCCAGTTGGTGCTGAGAACCTGGGTGGCCTACAAAAACGGTCGTTTGTTTTAGGAAATTGTACTCACTTGGTTGCCACTCCTTGAATTTCAGGTACCTTATACCTTATCGTACTTGACGAGAGCAGATAACACCGATAAGGCTCTGTTAACCCCTCAGCGTCCAATGTTTACCTCACCTGCTCGGGTCATCGATCTTGCATGCTCAATGTAAGGTACCTTACCTACCTTACTTGCGAACCCTTCATCCTCTCATCCATTTGGCAACTGTCTGTCTCTGGATCATTATAGCTGTGATACACTTACGCAAAATCCGCATCCGGGATCAACAGAAGAGATCAGGCGTAAAGTCTTGCTCCATTCATTGCTTTCTGGTCACAACTCCCCGTCCTTGGGGAACCCCGCGTGTCGAAGGGCAAGACCTGTGCGCAGACGTCTCTCAAGCCAGACGAAGGTATTGACCCTGGTTGTCGGAGTAAAAGACTGTAGGTTTACCTTCGTCTTACATCTTAGGGCTCATGCTAACTTAACCTGCAGACACAAGGCCCATCCAGTCTTACGAGGGCAACAGCAGTGGACTTATAACATATGCTCTACAGCGTGGTCAGCTTATAGCAAGTGAACCAGCAACAAGGATGACCGATTTTCGGACGCTGGCTCTGGAATATGTCCTCAGTGACGAGCCGGAGAAGCAGAAGAGGTCTGCATTAAATGCGGCGTCGGGTAAGTTGGAAAGGCCTCGTTGGTATCCCGGACTGGCTGGGCGGTTTCTCCGAATTCCCCCTATTCCCCCTGCGGAAAGCTAATATGGACATGCTCTACAGCTATCCAGTCCGATCCTCGCCCTAGCAACCCGGTTCTACGATGGGTTCAATCCATCGGGTCGTGGATCGCCGCCGATGAAGGTTCCGCTGATGTAGGCGAAGGGGGCGAATCAACAGGAGATGTCATCGCACGTTCAAAAGGTAACGGCCCAAGAGATGCCGTCGGCGAAACCAACCAACAACTGATGTGTGAGAATCAAAACAGCTCTCGCCTTTCTAGCAGACACGATAGAGGCCCTCGATAGCGAATTCCTGAACCACGACCAAGGTACAAATATGATCTAACCCGTCCCTGGTTCTCGCGGCATGGACCAGAACTAACATGGCTAAAAGTATCCCACCTCATAAGTTTCTTCGGTAGCATGTTTAAGATTGACCACAGACATGGTATCATGCCAGCCGCCAGAGCACTCAGCCGCGTGGCTAGCATGAAGGCCTTCAAACCGACGCAGGCAGACCGTATTATACAGAGCGTCTGTGGCTTGGGGGATGACTTCAAAGCGCAGTCTCCCAAGACACGGGCCGTGGTCTACGACCTCATTTCCCAAATAGTCTCCCAGCCCGATGCTGCCGGCGACTTACAACACCGCTACGGTGCATCTGCCGGTTTTATGGTCGACCTCCTTCAGCTGTGCCGGAACGAACGCGACCCCATGTGTCTGCTAACTTGGTTCGGCATCTTAAGAAAGTTCCTCACAGAGTACTCTCCGTCACCCGAGGTTGTGACAGAGATATTCAACGTCTTCTCTGCCTATTTTCCTATATCCCTAAGGTCATCCCATCATCCCTCTGGTATTACTGCGGAGGACCTCAAGGTAGCCCTGCGGGATTGCTTCTCCGCGCATCACAGCGTTGCCGGCCAAGCTTTTCCTTTCTTGATTGAGCGTCTTGACCAGGGAGAAGGTCTTACGGCGACTGTCAAGGTCCGTCGTTAATTGAGTTTTATACTTTGGGAGTTCCCTGCTGACATTTCCCCCAGCTGGACATACTCAGGACGCTGAAGGCGTGTCTGCAGAAATGTACCGACGCCAATCAAGGCGTTATCCCCTTTGCAGACAAGATATGGACGAGCTTGAAGTACGAGGTCCGTAACGGCGAGGTCGAGGACGCCGTCAAGGAGACCTTGCAAGTCATCGGCGCTCTTTTCAGCCGACTCGATGGTGATAACCTCCAGCGTCTTGTACACACAGTACAGCAGGACTGCCTCGACGACCTCGACAACCCGACCTACACTCCTGCCGCGCAAAAGCTCCTCCTGGCCGTCTCCTCCGGAAGCCCTTCTGCCTTTGCCCTCGTCGCGTTTGCCGCTCTGCAGCCGGTTAAGGACAGTCTTCGACATGCTAAGTCCACCGACCATACAGTGAGCCTTCTCAACCTACTCAACTCTCTGCAAGAGGTGCGCTGCGCTCGTATGCAGCAATCCACCGCCGCCTTGACCCCCCATCACGTCGGCGTTCTGCAGCGTACGGAACCGGCCTTTGTCTCACTTTACCGGGACGTATTCTCGCAGCCGTTCCAGCAGGCGATCCATCCCGAAGCATCAAAAGAGACGTTGATTATCGGCGAGAAAGCTATTCAAGGCCTAGCCCTCCTCTTCAAACAACAGCATTCCGTTACATGCTCTCAGATCGGTGACTCGATACTGGCCCCTGAAGATGCGTCTGAAATTATTTCCGATCTTTCCTCATTCCTACTCAGCAGAGCTTTCCGCACGAAGGACGAAGAGTCAGAAGAAGCATTGGCTCTTCTCCAGGCCGCCATCCGTGCGCTACAGGCCGCCGTCACGAGAATTCCTGACGCCTTCTCTAAGCTCGTCACCGACTCCTTTGCGATATTCGAGGGGGCCACGAATGTGTCTTTCGAGGAACTGTGGACTCGGCTCAGATCTATGCTGCCCAAACTGGCCTTCATTGGCTGCTCTGAGCTTCCTGTTTCGGAAGACAAACTACAGCACTCGGTGCTCCTGCTAAGTTCCTTGTTGCGTCAACTGCAGTCGATGATCAACCGCAAGGCTCCGGCTGGAGTCTGGGCCGAATATGCCATCGGCATCCACACAACCATGTATACCTTTTGGGTCGCCTGTGAAAACTCCCTTGAACGTCCTGTTCGGGAGAAGAAGGTGGAAGGGTACGATACTGGCTTGAAGGATGACTTACGGTTCAGCCCGGGGCGATGGGTTCGGTACGTATCCAGTCGCTTTTCTTCCCTGCCTACCCTCCAGGATGAAAGCATGGTGAAAACTCTGGAGGACGAAAACGAGGGAACTTCCGATTCCGAGCCCTACTATAAGAAACTTCTTGCAACGGAAAGTCGCCAGCAGCTGGTTGGCGACATGCTGCTTGTCTACTTGTTCGTCGCCCGTCAGTTGTACCGGCGAGCAACCAGTATCATCAGCTCCGAGAATGCTACAACGATCGGCATCCGGCTCAGCGAAGATTTTCAGGGCAAGGATAATGAGTACAGCTACGCAGTGCTTATTTCACGTGTTGCCCAATTTGCCATTTCGCGCTTGGGGTTCTGGGAGCAGAACCAGCTGCGCCTCTTGGAACAAGTACCTGCGTTATTCCGCGCGGAGGACGTCCTTGTTGATGGCCTGGGCTCGGAAGCTGAATCTGGAGGCCACCAGAGTCTCCGGGACGTCATGGCCTCCAAGTTCACCCCTGAGCTTGAGATCGACTGGAGCAACCCTCCCAGCTTTCCCATCAACCCCCTGACCAACGAGTGCCTCGTCCTTCTGGCTTTTGGGATCATGGCTCCTCTCCAACTGACGACGATCCCTGTTGACCCTGTGAGTGAGACCGAGCCTTTGTGTCCCTGTTCCCCTTGCTGACCCGTCATAGATGTCATCTGGTATAATTACGAGACTCTTCTTCGCCGGTCTTCTCTCGCGAGTCGACCCGACCCTCCCGCCACAACCTCTGACTAGTCTCATGTCCCTTCTGATGAACGTCTCCAATAAGATTCCGTTAAATGAGTTGACCAACGTCCTTGATTCGGCCCGGGCGCAGATCGAAACTGCCGTTTCTGATGCCCATTCGAAGATGGACCTGCAGCAGTCAGAACTACTTGCCTGGCATGTCAGCCAACGAGCCGGCCAAAGTATTTCGGAGGTCCGGAAATTAATGGCTCGACCAGTACTTTACATCACGGCCGGGGCTCTACGACGCTACAAAGGGAACTACCTCAAAGCCATCCTTGCCGCAATCATCAGGGGACCAGCAGACCTGGAGGCTGGCCACATGTTCGCTTCTGACATTGAGATTCTCTTCAAGGAGTCGCCAGTTCTGCAAACAGACTCCCATCCCAGGGTGGTTAATCCCCTTTGGCGTCAAAGAGCCTACATGGAGATTGTCAAACCTATGCTTGACCTGGCGTTGCCCAAGAAGGATGGCAGCACAAGTATGACGATTGCGGCCAACTATAGCATCGCTGTCCTCCATGCACTTAGGAACCTGAGCTTGGAGATATACGAGGATGATATGGAACAAATCATCCGGATGATCATCTGTGTAGTGCGCATGCTACCGCTCAGCCTCGAAACTCTCTACGGTCTCCAGTTGGTGAAAACGATTTGCCAGAAAGGCTCAGATCAAGTCACGCCGTTCCTTGGGAGCATCATTGACATTTGTACCTCAGTACTGGTCCCCACGGAGCACGAGAGGAAGCGGAACCGAGGTGCCATCAACTTGGAGGCTCTTCACGCGATGACTAAAGACGGCGGTTCAAAGAACAGTCCACTTATCCCGCGTATCCAAGTCCTTGCACTCGAGATCCTACGCGACTTGACAAAGCACTACGAAGCGAGACACCTGCGCAACGAGGCTCCTGCGGTGGTTCGACGTCTTGGACGGATTCTGGGAGACTCTTATCGCGAGACACGCGCAAACGCTCACTCTGCTATTTCGGCTTGGCACAACCTGATACGGTGAAGAGTGACTGTTAGGCGACAGCGAACGACTACGGGAGCTTGGCTAGAATGGGTGTTTGGTGGAAGAACATAGATGGCTTTGGTTTTGGTATCGTGGTGTTGATTTCTCCTTTAGAAAATAGGATTGGATATATATTAGATATATCCATACCCACCCCCTATTAGAGGATAAGGGACGGAGTTTTGGCTTTTGAAAAGGGGTTAGTTTTGGATGCATTCGATGACCCTGGCCATAGCTCGCTATAACACCCTCCTAAGTCACATTTCATCTCTCACAGAATGTGGCAGGCGCACGTATGCCCCCATGAATAGACAGGTGGCATGCTGCAGAGAGCTTTCACTAGATATGATTTTATTTTACGTGCCTAATGCGATATATCGCTTTGACTACTTCCCCTCACGCCTCCCTGAGAGACATGAGATGGTGTATCCCGCCACTCTACGCACGTCTCGCTCCCCACCCGGAATTTAAGCCTTCCTCCGCTTGGGTTTCTTCGCGGTGGCTTCTGCGCTATCTACACTACCCGTAGCACTGGCAGTGGAGGCGTCGAGCACAGCATCCAGCATCTCGGTTGAGTAGCCACCGGCGGCTGGCGCCATGGAGGCAGAGGGTGTTTTCACGCGTTTGGCGTCTAGCTTGCCAATGGCGGAAACGTTGGAGGCGAACATCTCCTGGAAGGGGACAGCGACGAAGTGGCCCTGAGAGTCGAACCACTGATTGAAAGGGCGGGAGATGTTAAGGGTGACGGGAGGGCCAGACTTGGGGGTAATGGTGATTGTGAGGTTGTACACGGGGACGTTCTTGGTCGTGGAGGTTGTAATGGAGATCTGCGTGGCCAGAACCGTGTCAGCTATCTTGTGACGGAATATGGGTTGGAAGCAGCAGCATTTACCTTCTCACCGTCCGGTGAGATGCCTTCATATACGACGCCCTTCTCGACGAGCCAAACCCATAGGGTCAGGGCGCCCTGCAGGAGGGTATATAGCACCACAGCAGCTGCTGTGTAGGGTTTGGTCGCAAAAAAACCGAACTTATAGTCCCAGGCGAAACAGGCCGCGGCGATCAGGAATGCTGAGTAGCCCAGGCCTAGGCGGACATCGGTCAGAGTGTGAGATTGGGTGAAGCGAAGGGAGTTGAGGTAGTTCGCAATGGCATCGTCTGAAGTGTGTTTAAGGTCTGCAACTATGGGGTGAGTCTTGGTTGTCCCGTCCGGAATCTCGACCTCATTCACGCCATCACTGGCTAGTACATGGAAAAGGACACGTGATTTTTACCTGCTTGGTTATAAACCGTTATCCTTTCTTGAGACGACATTTCCAGTGGTCAACTTGGGGTTGGCAATTGACTAAGGTTTGGTGGGATATTCGATATTCAGACACGCCAATGCGCTTCCAAGGTTCCCGTCGTGAAAGCTCCAGGCTGGCCTTCCCAAAGCGATGCGCAGAGAAGACAGGTAGTGACTATAAAGGGTATAGCGTTGCCGAAGAACATGCGCCACCGTGGGGTGGGGAATGACCCCGCTAACAGGAAACATTCACTTCCGAGATGATGGAATGCTTGCATAAAACCCCCTATAGCAATAAGAGTCTCTGATGCTCGGACAAGTGTGCAACAACCGGGATCCATCTCGACTCCCAGCTCCCAGCTCCCAGCTCCCAGCTCCCAGCTCCCAGCTTGCATCACCATCATCTCGACACAAAACTGTCCGTCATTGTACATGCTCCTGCCCTCGGTACAGTGCATCCAGAAAGACAGACATGGCACAATTACCTGACCAGACGATCCACCGGGATCCCCAGTTATTGTACGCAGATTTTCCTTTCGTTCTTACTGCTTGTTTTGTTGACGAGACTCCTATAGTTACTGGATCCTGGTGCCCATTACCGTTGTGATGGTATTGACGGGCATCCTTCGCCACTATGCCTCCGTCCTTCTCGCTACGCCTTCGAAGATTATTGACAGACCAACCATGAAAGAGCAGCGCTCTCTAATCCATGGACAAACAGTGCGAAACAACCACCACGTCCTGTCCAAGAAGTCGTTCGAAGCGCGTCGCGAAGTCCTTATCAATGCCTACGAGTCGGGCGCCTATCTCAAGAATGGAGCTGGAAAGGATCAAGCTCCTACGAACCCGTTGACTGACCCGGGAGCTATGGATGGCATGATGGGCATGATGAAGAACAACATGGCTATGATCATCCCCAACACCCTCATTATGAGCTGGATCAGCGCATTCTTCAGTGGTTATGTCATTAGTGAGTCGAGATGCAGGCAGTGCCGCGTACGTATAACAGCGAAACGAGACTGACATGCGGCAGCAAAACTGCCTTTCCCGATCACGATCAAGTTCAAGAGTATGCTACAAGCCGGAGTCGCCACCAAGGAAATGGATCCCCGGTGGATGTCAAGCATCAGCTGGTACTTCTTGTGCATCTTTGGACTTCAGCCTGTTTTCGTGTTTCTTCTCGGAAGCGATAATGGTACGTTAAAGCACTGGTGCGAGTTTTGTCCTTGGGGGAAAAGCATCTACTGATAGATCAACCGCAGCCGCTAGCCAGATGGCACAACAAATGGGCCAAATGGGACCGCCGCCCAACCAGCCGATGCTCGGCGCTGGGCCGGATACAAACAAGCAGTTCCTAGGTGAAGCTGAAAACATAGCCGTTATTGACCATTACTCGGTCCTCGACGACGTTGAGCTACGACTGCTCAAGGGTATCAAGGGGTAAAGTAGAATAACAGACGATAGGGAAAAGAAAGAAAAAAAAAAAAGAACTCCGTCTTACGAATACCGCCACCCGGCATGCCTCCGCACGAGTGCGATCTAGCCTTCCTCCCCCTCTCCACCTTCTTCTCCCTCGTCTCCATCCCACCACAAACACACACCTAGTCCATCCATGGCCATGGAACCTTTGATCCTGTAAGGCGCCTGAAGCGCATCCTCTTCATTCTGGTTCGGTCCTGCTGGGGTCTGGTCGTGCCATTCCTCGTCGATGACCTGGAAGCGGACCATCTCATGGTTGTCATAGTAGAGGCGGGTTTCCTCGTCACAGTTCCAGATCCATAACTGCTCTTGGTGGTTGTACTCGGCTCCCTCGGGAAGTTCATCAAAGGGAACAAAAATGTCGTCGAAGAAGTCAGTTCTCACTGCAGCCTTTCTGTCAGCCAACACGATTCCAGGGCCGAGGCAACAACGAGACTTTCAAACCCACCATTGATTCCTGAAGGCGTGGAGCTTCGTATCCTGCCGAACATGACTTCACCCTTGAAAGGCCGGAAGACGATAATTCGGAACTCCACTGGTAAAACAGTCAGCCCAAACAAGCTCCTCCTTTGCGCGTGGGCATACAGAGGCATGCATACCATTGACATTCACGAGGCCAGTTCCATGGCCAATGAGTCCTTCAGAGGCCCAAAGCAGGTCATAAAGGGAAATGCAAAGGCCGATTTTTTGGATCACCTTGTTGGCATACTTGGCATTGATATAGTCTTCTATTGCGACGATACTCTTCTTCTTGAAGTCATCGGGTGCAATTTGGACAAGATCCGCAACTTTTGTCTTCACATAAGATCAGTTAATACCTTACTTACTAATCTACACGTACGTGAATGGGTGAATGAGTAGGAATTACTCACGAGAATGAACATGGTGAAGCAGCAATTATTACTTCATGATAAGTTCAGATTGTTGAATAAGAAAGAAGAAAATAGGTTCGTAATAGCAAAGTGGGTGTGTTATGAATCTTTGCCTCAGCCTAATATAATAAAGCCCTTTGAGTTTGAGGTAGTTCGTCGGCTTTTATTAGTGAGTTCCTTCTCAGAAGCTGTTATCAAAGTACGTTCCCTACTTCCTCACACACGCACCCCACTTTGACCGCCGTCTTGGTATGGACAACCCACTTGGTTCTCGTCTCAGGTAGAACTAGGTTATCAGCTCCACGTGCGCACGTGATTTACTTCGTATTAGCTACAAATGACTTCGGTTCCTCATTCTTAGGTACCAGGCTGGAAAGGACGGGTTATACCTATAAGAAGTACATAGAGGCATACCACGTGAAAAAAACACCACTACCTTGTGGTATTGAATGGTTTCCCAGCTTCAGCATCTTGATCCTCGATCCTCGACCTTGAATTGTCTCCAACACGAGTTCTCTTTCAACGTCCGTTCACATACTATTTCTCAGCTTTCACTTGCAGGAAGCCTCGGTTATCCTGTCGTTTTGCAAGCACGATCCTCGACCAGCCGATTATCCTTCGAGAACGCAAACAATCCTTGCCCAACCCTGGCAACCTGCTTTGGCCTCTACTTCGACCTTTCCCCTTTCTTATCGCACATTTCATTCAACGCGTGCGCGCCTTCTCATTCCTTTTACTGCTCTTCTTCAAGCCTTTTTGCCCTTGTCACACGGTTGAGTTGTCATAGCACAATGTCGACCTACAACTACGGCCCACCGCCTCCTCCACCACCCCAGGCTTCGCCAGCCGGCCATGCTTCCTATACCCATCCCACCGGCCATTACCAACGCCATGGCTCATCTCGCGGTGGTGGGACATCTGCATCGCGAGGTGGTCGTGGAGGGTATCAAGGCCCCCCTCGACCCGAGTATCAACCTCCTCATTCCCAGTACGACTATGGTGCGCATGCCCAACAGCCCTACGCTAATACCAGCTACTCAACTTCGCCGCCAACCACTGGCGGATATCCTACGCCGCATCATCAATGGCCTCAGGACCATGGGCATCCTTCTGCCCAGCAACCACAGCCACATACACCGGCGCCCCTTTCCACTGCCAACTACCACCCTAATTATGCCCCCCAGGCCTATGCGCAATCCCAAGTTCCTGTTCACCAGCCAGCATACGTTCCGCCCCCTCCTCCCCAGCCGCAGCAGCATCATTATCCCTACCACGCCCCTGCCCCGTACAACGGTCAGCAGCAGTGGGGGGGTCATGACCGCCAGCAGCAACAGCCCCAGCCCCAGCCCCAGCCCCAGCCGCAGTATGGCACTGGCCAGCACCAGCACCAGCACCAGCACCAGCACCAACACCGGGGTGGTTATGGCGCGGATAGGAGAGGGGGCGCCAGGGCTCTAAGTATGGGAGCGCCTGCCCGAACCGACTATGTGGTTCAGAACGTGCAGCCTCAAGTGAACGGCGGCTATGCCCAACACTATCCTGATGCCCGTGCCGCATCATACCCCCCACAGCCGACGCAGTACCCCCCATATCCCCCTCCACCTCCACCCCCGTCCCATACACCTGCCCCTGAGCCGTACCACAACAAGCAGGACGGTCATTATGCCGGTCGCAGCCGTGGCGGGTTCCGTGGGGGGGGTAACATGAGGGGTAGGAACCCTCATCACAGTGGCGATAAGGCGAGACCGCGCCACCACCAAGGCCCACGCCCTGATGCGAACCCTGTGCCTCATGTGCCTCAGAAGCATGATTCCAACTCGTCCGGGAAAAAGAAGAAACGGAAGACGAACACTCTTGGGTTGACGCCCGGTCAAGGTTCTGATTCGGAGGAGGACGACGAGAAAGAAGAGGAGACTCTATGCAAAGTCATTGGAGACGATGCCCTTCAGTAAGCTCCCACCGCAAAGAAGCGTTTCTTCCTTCCGAACTTCAATTGACTGACTATCCTTGCTTCAGGATCACGGATATTGCCGCATATATTGCCGAGCGAAAGAAACACTATCCCACGGCGGCTCGCGTCAAGGCCAAGCAGTCTGCCGAGCTGGCAAGTGGAGACAAGCGTGCCGCGGCTCTTGAGAAGGAGGAGAAAATAGCCATGGAGCTTCGGAAGCAGCTTGAAAAGGTCGAGTCGTCCATCAAGCGCAAACGAGAGCAACAGGATGAGGGCGATGAGATGAGAGATACCTCGCCCCCTTCCGTGACAAAGTCTCAGGGCGACGACGACGATGCGCCGGAAGTCCTGTCCACGCGTTCCCAGCCACAACTTCCACCACCCCCGCCCGCGAAAAAGGCCGATGTCACGAAGCACTGCAAGTACTACTCTACTGGAGGAACTTGCGGCAAGAAGGGCAAGTGCCGCTTTGTTCATGATCCTCAAGTCCGCGAGGCAGCCATTAGGGAGCGGGATGCCAATAACGGGCAACTGACAATCCAGCAACGTCTCATCTTGAACGACAAGGACCAGGAGGATCTCACCGTGCTGCAATCGATTCAGTACCTGCGTGAAAAGGGTGTTGTCAAACCGCTCGATGCTGCCACCGCCAACGGACAGTCTACCGTTGTTGTCGGCCAGTCTCGCGCGCAGCAGCAGAAGGAGCAGAGACGACAGGCACGGCAACAGCAGACAAGCACTCTCCCCGCTGCGCCCTCGTCACTTCCGAAGCCTCCCGTCAGGCAGGACCATGGTCTTCCACCTCACAAACCTCCCCCATCTGCTCTTCAGACGGCTCAGACTGGTGCCTCTGTGCAATATAAGGGCTGGAATCTCAGTGGATACGGCAATGCCGGTCTGAAGTCGGAGGACCTTCCCTGAATCCCCTGCTAGGCACCGTCTAGTCAGTTCCGATATTTCGATACCCAAGACCACTTACTCTTTTTCTTTCCTTTCCTTTCCTTTTATTTTTGGCTTCGTGGCCTGAGTTTGGGAATATACATCTTGGGTTTGCTATTTTGATTTGGGTTTTCCAAAATCATACCCTAAAGCCTCAAGCCTGCTGCATTGAAGTCAGCCTCAGCAGAGCCACCTGGAGCATTTCTTGCGCTGTCATACCAAGCCAGTGTTCCCTACGATATTCTGGATTAGAAGCCGCACTACCTTCTGCCGCTACGCCGTCCGCCATTTTTTTTTTTTTTTTTTTGGCTGAGATGATTGGGAGGTCTTGTTGTTGATGATCCAGCTCTCTTGGATGAAGCCATTACAGCAAACATAACAACACAAGACAGGCCACGTGTGCAGGAGCTATGTTCGAGCAGCGCGCAACCATCCCTTATACTTCATCGCCTGGGGGGTACTCCTGATGCCAGGGCCAAGTGTTGCCCCTGCAGTGCCTGGAGGTTGCCCATTCTGTTAGGGCCATTGGTCAGCTTTGATATCGGATCTCGGAAAGGCGTCTATGAAAACGACTTGGGATAATAGTTCGTCCCTGTTGGCTGATACCCGGTCTATTGTAAAGTAAATTACGAATAGTTGGTCATAGCCTGAATTACTCTCTAACTCATGTCAAGTTATGGAGTAAGGTAATAATGATAAGTTACTGCCTCAGTGACATCACCAGCTACCTTATAAGGCGTGCCAGGAAAGGACTCTAGTCACTCCTTACAATTATGACGAGGAGGTCAGGTGAAGTGGCACTTGATGTATAGTCACATCCCTACCTATATGTCAGAATCAGAATAAGGAACAACTTGATTGATTTTACTGGAATCCTCCTCCCTGGTAATCAGGTAGAGTGACTTTAAATACGCCGAGAAATGGGTCCGTGTGCAGCATCTAGTACCTTCCGTGTGGAAGATGGATTCAGGGGAATCGTGGATTGAAGCCCCACCCCGTTACGCCCTGCCACAGCGTCTGAGACTATAAAACCAACACAACTTGATTGGAAATGCCTGGGAAAAGCTTTCGGGCATGTATAATTCCCGGGAACCATATATTCACACTGCCTGACAACTGGGGGGACAAACAAAGCAAAACAGTAAAAGAAAATGGTACAAACAAAAATGGTTCTGTAAAACAAAGACATAGCCAACGCCGTCGCTGATGAGTGGGATAAAGGGGGAAAGAGCATGCCCGGCCACCCTGCTGCGCCTAGCATGTAATGTGTCCCTTCAAACTGATAAACCACATCCTGATCGACATTCTCCTCTATGAAAACCCCCCAAAACAAACCAGAAACAGAAGAAAAAAGAAGAGAAGAAACCTGGCTGCCAGAACTGGGAATCACAGGTGGCAGCATGACTAGCCTCGGTTTTTCTTCTTCTGCTCCTCGAGGAATCGCCGCCTGCGCTCTTCCTTCTCCGCTTTGAGGCGCCTCTCCAACTTCTCCTGCTCCAGGTCCTCCAGCCGAGCGGCACGTGCGGCACGTGCCTCTTCTTCGTAGATGTCGTCCATGCCGGCCTCCATATCGGACTCGGAGCCTGAATCGTATCTGTACCGAGGTCCACCAACCGGTTCCTCTTCCTCGTCGTCGTATTCGATGAAATCGTCCAGCTCCTCGTCTTCTTCCTCGTATCGTGAACGCCTGGCCGACCCACCATAGCGAGCGCCGGCGCGAGGGTTCAACAGAGCACCGCCGGGCGCAGCGGGTTTCCTGGAGTTGGCCGACGTCGTAGCGCCTGGGCGGGGGCGAGCGGTACCCGTATACCCTGTTGTTGCGAGAGCGGCCTTCTTTACCTTCTTGGGCTCCTCCTCCGTTACTGAGGCGGACCGTTTCATCCTGGGCCTGTCTGTATCCAGGTTCCGCGTATCCTTTGACATGGCGCCCGTGCTCGTCGCTCGACGCTGTAAGGCGGGAGTCGTTGGAGCTCTCGAGGTGCCGTTCGCGGGCCGAGCAGTGCCCTGGTATCTGGATATCGTCGTTGGAACTGGTTGCTTCGCATCCTTCTTGGCTTCTGGCCGTTCCTTCTTCTTTTCTGTTCCTTTATGCTGGATCTTTCCAACTTGACCCATGGTTGTCTGGGCAAGTTTGGCCCGAGCTAGAATCTCCGCATAGGAGCCTTTCTTTGGGGGTGCCGGCTTGGCTGACGGGGCGGCTGCGGAGGATGGAGCAGTCGTAGCAGGGGCAGTTGGTCCCTTTCGAACGCTGGCCGACGTCGGTCTGGCGCCATTCGTAGCATTCGTGCCATTCATTCCATTTGTTCCGCTGGATGTCTTGGCCGGCGTTGAAGCGGGGGCGGCGGGCCTCACGGTCTGGCCACCTGTCGGTCTTGATGCGCCGGTTGGACGACTCATCGCAGTACCTCTGTATGGAGTCGATGCTGGCCTATCCGTCGGCCTCGGATTTGTTGTGGAACCACCGGCACCCCTTGTACTTGCCTCGAGGCGAGGCGCCTTTGCGGAGTTGTTGCGTGTGTCATCGTTGGCTTTCCGTTTCAGAGGACCGATTGGCTTGGAGGCGGGAGGTGTGGATGTCTGCTGCACTGGTTCGCCAGTGATCTGAGCCAGGAGGTCGCCGATCTGGGGGGAGGGGAAAGACCCGTGTTAACAGAATGGAATGACACGGGCGGAAGTGATGGTATTTCAGATTCAGAGGCTGCTTACCATAGTGGGTGGTTTTAAAAGCACGTTTGAGACTGCAACTTTACCATCAGGACGAGCGCGCGGCCAACACAACACCTAGGATGTGTTCTGATATTGAGTCATTGGGGTACCCGGGTTTCGGTGCAAGGTAGTAAATCTGGCCAGATGTGGCGGGGGGGGAATAGACTGGGTTTCGCGGAGGACGAAGTCCAAAAGGCGGCGCCAAGTTGGGTGCGGCCTGTTTATATTGATAGACGCGGTCCTAGACCCACCCGTATGGGTTTATGGAAGATAAGTAAGAAATAAGAAGCCCGTATGTCTGAAGGGAAGGGCAAGGAGAGCAAAAAGGACAGCAGAAGAGGAGGCAACTTTTCCAAGAGTTCATGTTTCCAGGCGGGCGACCCGTACGAAATGCGAGTTTGTAGCGCACGGACCACCTTCGGTTGGCTGTAGTTTATCCGTCACAACGCCTAGCTGATGGGCTCGGTCTGAATGCAGGACGTGGGGTTTCTATTACGTGATCACTGTGGCTAGTGCATGGTGGACATTGTTAACACTAGCCACAGATTCAGCCTTTCCTCGCCCTAGGGCCGGGTTACCGAATTGGTGCGCCCACAGACCGACCATCGATTGAAAACTTGGGCGTAACTTTTCTGTAACTTTTTCGACTTCCTCGGTTTCCCGGACTCCAACACCGATTCTCTTCTTTACCACCTTTCTCAGAACTCGAAGAATCAGTCTCCGCCCAACTTGCGGTTAAATTGATTGACCTCTCGTGTTCGCCAAATTTCTCTCACCTGTACGTTCGCCCAGTTTTTCTTCGCATTGTGGCAGTCTGCCATCAGTCTCGTCGCAGTCGCAGTTCGCAGTCGCACGACGTTCGAACCATGACACCCAGCTAACCCAACCACCTTTCCCTCGCAGACATCCAAAATGAAGCACCTCGCAGCTTACCTCCTCCTCGGCCTGGGCGGCAACACCTCCCCCTCCGCCGAAGACGTGAAGACCGTTCTCGAGTCCGTCGGTATCGAGGCCGATGAGGAGCGTCTTGAGAAGCTCATCTCTGAGCTCGAGGGCAAGGACATCAACCAGGTGCGTAGAACCCTTCAATCAAGTTGCGCCTGGGGGAAAAATACATAAAACAGGTCTTGCTGACTGGGTGAACTAGTTGATCTCTGAGGGCTCCGGCAAGCTTGCCTCCGTCCCGTCCGGCGGTGCTGGCGGTGCTGCTGCCCCTGCTGGTGGTGCTGGTGGTGCCGCGGAGGCCGCCAAGGAGGAGGCTCCCAAGGAGGAAGGTACGTGCGCCCCCGGCGTTATGGTGCATGATACGTCGATGTTGATGAAACTAACCCCGCTACAGAGAAGGAGGAGTCCGACGAGGACATGGGCTTCGGTCTCTTCGACTAAATACCCTTCTTACGACGTTAACGACCGGTATCGGCCTAGAGCTCGGATTTTTCTTCAGTGTGGTGTACGGGATGGGTCGGGTTCTTGCATGTGGTCTTCATGGGAAGGTCTCGGCTCAGCGTGGGTTCTATGTGCCTCGCAGGGTTATATAAAGCGACAGTCTAGGCATGGACAGCCAATACAACCCCCCGCGATTACGCTGAATGATCGTTTCGACTCGGTGAAAACGTGTTCTAATGATTACGCAACGTAGTGAGCGTTTGTGGTCATGAACTATTTCCAATTGCCAATCGTATGGGCATGCCCAGTTCCATCAGATTTACTTCATATCTCGGGCGAAGGGCACCCGACTTTTGGACAATCCGCCTGAAAATGGACCAGGCTTCCATCGCAAACCGTCTAGTCGCCCTGAACCAAGACACATACAACTGCAGTACTTCCACTTCGTATGCCAGGATCCGTACTACGGCGCCTGTACCGTTGTGCCAGCTCGAATGATCAACATGTAGAAGTATGCACCCTGGCCGGGGAAACCTCGTTTCGGTTCGCCGCGAAAGTGAATGGTCCGTGGGCTGGGTAATGTCAGGTATACAAGTCAGTGGTGTCGGGGATGTGTCATTCGTTAAAAAGGGCTTCGTGAATCAGCGTCTCCCTACTTGGAGAGCGTCACCAGCATGAAGGCGACATGTTCCTTTTATAGGGATCAGATAGCAACAACACTCTTCGATGACGCCGAGGCAAGAGTCTTTGGCTGATAAGGTCCAAGCCAGCCTCTTCGATGAGTTTTTGAGGCACCGAGGGGAAGTGAAATATTTCGAAGAAGTTGTTTAATATCTCCTAAGTCTGTTTCGCGATTTTGGCAGAGAATGAAAGGGTGTACGAAAATGTTGCAGTTGATTGAATGGCGAACAGGAATCCCTGACAGGACAGGGCTGTCTTTCCCATCGATTACTTCGACCTGCAGCCAATCATGGACCACGTTTATCACGGCACTAGTTCTATGGGTGTCGGTTGCTCCGGCAACTTCACCCGCAGGTTCCAGGTCGTGATTGGTTGCTTCTACCCCTGTCAAAAACATCACGTCTGGACAAGGAAGTTGAAGCATCGTAACCAACACCCGACACATCCAGGAACGGCGCGACGCATGAACGGCCATCAGTAATTTCTCCAATTTTCCAATTTTTGACTCCTCAGCGGCATGGAAACTTACGACACGTAAATCATTGCTACATCTCCTCCATCAATCGCTTTTTCTCGAGCAATTTGGGGGGGGCCTTTATCCCGAGAGAAGGAACGCGTCAATTGCCACAACGGGCGGGTAGAGGGGGAGCATCAGAACCACAACAAGACCTCGGATCGTGCCAAATTGGACATGACAGCCGCATCACCCACCCCGATGGGCAATGCCCAAGATCCTCGTTTACTTCGCAGAACATCCCAACGTCAAGCCCTTCGACGACCACCATCACGACAGCAATTGAGCCGCAGTGCATCCCAACCTTCCCAACCGGTCCATTCAGCGGATGATGGTCCTATGGCGCCTACGAAACCCGAATCCCAACAATACTCTATCAACGAAAGCTCCGATGACGAGATCCCTGTGCCTATGAAGCTCAGTGCTCTCACCAAGGCGCTCCTGAAGGACGACGGTTCCGAGGCGCCGCGACCCGCATCACCACCACGGACTAGGCGTCGGGCTAGTAATCTGGCTGCATCGACATCCTCGCAGGCCGAAGAACGAAGACATTTGCGGTCCGGAAGCGTGCACACCTACGAAACAAGATCATCTCGGCCTGCTTCCCCGAGTAGACAAAGTAGGGAGAGTCGCGAAAACAGCCCCGTCCGGAAGCGGGTTGTGCGGTTGAGTAACACGCCCAGAAGTCTCGGTCAGCTACCCACAACCAAGCGGCGATCTACCTCTACGTCGCAAACATCACAACGAAGCCGTAACTCTGGGAAACCCGAGAGTCGCGATCAATCATCTGACGAGAAAGCACAAACCGATTCACAACCGAGTGCCAACACGGACACGACTCCTGCCAAGGGAGTCCGTGTTGTTCGCATTGCAGCAGGATCCTCTGGCAATCGCGGCCGGTTGGGAAGTTCCTCCCACAGTTTTCGGCGTTCGGGCTCGCATTTGGAGCAAGACTATCCCGACGAACCCGCCACGGCTGCTCGGAATGGCGTGTCTGTCGTGCCAGGTAGTGAATCTCGACAGGCGTCCAACGGAAGCCGAAGCTCCAGGCCCGAGGACAACCTTGCTCTCCAGAGCTCTATGCGTATCAAGCGCGTGGGGAAAGTGCCCGGCAGCTTTCTTAGCGGACCCGCTCGACGTGGACGACGGAGACAGAGCGAGGAGGAAGCCGAGGAGAATGCCGATGGCGAGGCCGTTATCTCGAGTCGGGAACCCGACGGTCAAGCACCTGAGGTGGAACAGGAACAGGAACAGGAACCTCCTTCGTCCTTTTACGGACACGGACGCAGCTTTGCATCGGGCAGTCCCGTGGCTCCCAGTGGTCCTTCTAGGGCGGCGTACCGCAGGCATGCCTCCCACGCGGACCTCCTATCCTCCACAAAGCCACCTGGGGACGAAAATCGAAATCACGAAAACGTCGCAGAGGATGAGATTCCCTTCAAGCTGCCCTCCATCCGGCCGCAGCTTCCATCAAGGCTCGACCAAGAGAACGCACCCGGCTCCACCTTGAAACGAGCGAAGCCTCCCGTCAGTATCGTTGCGGAGAAGGAACTCGACATTCCCAAGCGACCCGCTAGTACCGACATTGGCAGTTTGCGCTCCGCCGCTTCCTCCGATCGGAAACCGTTGGCATCGCTCGGCCAGAACACGCCTCACCGTCCCGCACCGCCGCCGCCACCCCCGAAGATGTCGGTCTTGCAGGCAGCCACCGCATCCGCTGGAGCGGCGACAACGTCGCAGGGAAAACAGAGGCGGAACATCATTCGGGTCAATGGCAAGTCGTATACCCGTCTGGACTGCCTGGGACGAGGCGGCAGTGCCAAGGTTTATCGTGTGACGGCTGAGAACGGGGCCATGTTCGCCTTGAAGCGCGTCTCTCTCGAGCAGGCCGACGAGATGACCATCAAGGGATATCGGGGGGAAATCGACCTCCTCGGGAAGCTGACGGGGGTCGACCGGGTTATCAACTTATTCGACTACGAAATGAACGACGAAAAGAGGATGCTGACCTTGGTAAGTTTAGGCGAACCAACCCCCCTTTTTTTTTCTTCCTTTTTTTGTCATGTTTCCATCATGAGTACGCTTGCCAGAATTCTTTTTGTTAATGCAAGTTCGATACAGCTTATGGAGATGGGTGAGCTGGACCTAAACTCGCTTCTGCGTAATCGACACAACCCCGAGTCCGCCAAGTTTGATCCTGTCTTTGTACGATTCTACTGGAAGGAGATGCTCGAATGCCTCCAATCGGTCCATCAGTACGATATCGTGCACTCCGACTTGAAGCCGGCCAACTTCGTTTTGGTCAAAGGCCGATTGAAGCTTATCGACTTTGGCATTGCGAATGCCATCCAGACAGACGAGACGGTCAATGTTCACCGCGAGACCCAGATCGGTACGCCGAATTACATGTCGCCCGAGTCCCTCATGGATTACAACGCCCCTCGCGGCGCCCGCGTCCCTGGCCGACCCAAGCTCATGAAACTGGGAAAACCCAGTGATATCTGGTCATTAGGGTGCATCCTCTACCAGATGGTCTACGGCATGCCCCCTTTCGGTCATATTGCGAACCAGATGGCAAGATGCCAAGCCATCATCAACTGGGATCACCAGATCGAGTTCCCCGCGCGGGCCATGGGTGGCGTACCGGTGCCCCCGTCCCTCATGCAGACCATGAAGCGATGCCTGAACCGCGAGATCAATATGCGGCCCACCTGCGAAGAGCTGCTCCGCGAAACAGACCCGTTCTTGTACCCATGCGAACTTCACGACAAGGCGCTTCCAATTGACGAGGAATTGCTTGCTCGTATCATTCAGAGTGTTGTCACGCGATGTCGCGAGCGCATGCCGACTGAGGCCGAGGCGCAGTCTGTCTGGCCAGGCGCTTATTGGCAGAGCGTCAAAAAGGCGACGGACGCGACCAGGACATCATAAGCCCATGGTCAGCTGGTGGGCTTAGACTTGCTGTTATTGGATACGTGCCAGGGAAGAACAAAACGAATGAACTGCATCGCAAGGATGGATCCTTGGATGATGGCGTTGTTTTTCAGGCGTCACCTTTTTTTTTCTTTTTTTTTTTCTTGATGTTTTCGGTCTCTGTTTTGATCATGACGATTGGGGGAGCGATTCATACATTCATTGATTCCATACACTTTTTACCTCCCATCATTGTTCCATAGACCCATACCCCCCAGGGGCGGTCTATTTTCAGCCCGTCCCTATATTGCGAAAGGAGACGGAAAAGTCAGGTTGCTATTATAGGCTTGGTGGCTTGGAGTTCACGCTTCTCGGCTATTCATTCATAGTTTCCCCTCGAGACCCTGCCCTCGTATCAGGACATGTTACTTTCATCCATTGAAGGCTTGCATAAGGTAGATATGGCGTCTTGCTGTAGCTAGAGTTTTGGTTTCAAATTTCATCTGCTGCTTGTGTACTATCTGCAATATTTGTTCATGCTTGGTGTCATGTCAAGTGCTTTTGATTTTCGCCTTGTTATCCTATCCGTTCTATAGTACATCCAGTCCAAGCCTGGCGAGTAAAGCACCATTCGTAGTTGATACACGATGCATGATGCATAGGTTGCACCTTGGACCATGAGGCTGTTCTTACATGCGATCACATCACCTTTGACGCAAATCGTACAGGCAGCACCTGCTCCACCAGGGAATCCCCGTCATTTCACCTCCAGTGTAGCCGCGCTACTCAAGATCCAAACACGACTGGCTCCCCCATCTCTTTGAAGGTTCCTAGCTGCCTCAAGCGCTGCTGCCCTCGCCCGCAATTTCCTCGACCCCCTTGATCTTCAACTCGCTGATGGTGAGGGTGGTGAAGCGATGCTGACTCCGGACGCGGCGAGCGCGGCGAGTACGCTGCTTCTTCTTCACGGTGATGCGAACGGGTTCGAGCTCAGATCCCGTCACGACGGCGCGGCACTCGAAAACGCGGTCGTCAATGTAGGGGCTGCCTTTGAGGGTGAAGTCGCGGCTGCCGATGACGGAGGCGCGGTCGAGGCGGAGGACGTCCCCCGGGACGACACCGGGCATGTGGAAGGGGAGGCGGATGGCATCGCCCGGGGTCACGAGGTAGGGGCGCCCGTGGATGTGGACCGTGATGTAGTGGCTCGGTTGCGAGGCCAGGAGGGGGAGGAGCTGGCGGACCGAGTCGGAGAGGACGGGCGGCGTGGCGGGGGGAGGCGATGGCGGGTAGAGCGTCTGGGGCGAGGTTGAGGAGCGAGATGACAGTGTGGAGTTTGCTCGCTGGGTTTCTGCTGACGGTGGTTGTATTGTAGAAGACGCCGCATCGTGTGATGAGGCCGAGGCGGAGGAGGTGGGCTCGATGATGGGTGCTGTCGAGTTGAAGCTGCGGGCTCGGATGGGAAGGAGGAAGCTGGGAGGTAGCCGGGCGGCGGGCGTCCTGAGCTCCAGAGCGGAGCGGAGTAGTGCTCTGCTCATGTTGGATTTCGTGAACAAAGTAATTGGCCGTTATAGGCCCGGTTTTGTGCTGGAATATTCGGACACGCGACTGTTGCTGTCGAGATCCAAGGTCCCTGATGCGAAGAAAAGTCGAGTCTCCATATAATAATTAGGTACCTTACCTAAGGTACCTTAGTTAATTACCAGCTCCGACCAATTGCTCGGGTACGGAGAGCGCTGAGCTCTGGTTGGCTGTTCAAAGGGACATCGGGTAAACCTAACCCCGGGGTCTCGCGAAAATCTTTGGCGATAACTCATGTCCTATTGGACTCGTACCTTCGTACCTGGGGCGTATTGAATTTTCGGTGTGGGGAACATTGCTATCGCGGTCTCCTGTATCTTTAACCCGCCACTTTTTCTCGACTCTCAAGACGTCGTTACCAACAAACGACAGGAACATTTTGGAGTATTTCAAGTCGCTGCTGACAAGCGCAATATCTTCAAGATGCCTCAGAACGAGTGTAAGTTCATTCTCGATCTCTATTGCATCCTTGACCTAGCTTCATATGGGATCGGGCTAACGCTGGACCAGATATGGAGGCAAGTTTCTCGACGGGCACGCATTCGGCACGACGAGCCACAACCGACTAACTCACAGCTTCCTTAACAGAGATGGAGGAAACTCCACGGCAGGAGACTTGACCATGAGGAGAAGACGAGGAAGAAGGCGGCGCGTGAGGGTCACAAGCAGTCTTATGAAGCTCAGAACCTCCGAGGTCTTAGGGCCAAGTTGAGGGCGCAGGAGCGTCGCAAGGAGAAGATCCAGATGCGGAAGCAGATCAAGGCCCACGAGGAGCGGGATGTCAAGACGGCGAACCAGAACGACCCCAGCGAGCCCATGCCGGCCTATCTACTTGATCGATCCAAGTACGCACGACCCCCTCCATAATCCGTTGGTCTAGGTTGAAGGAGAAGGGAAGGGCTCGTTGGATGCCCACGGCACCGCTGTGCTAACGTTGGAATCAGCCCGAGTACTGCCAAGGCCATATCTTCTCAGATCAAAAACAAGCGGGCCGAGAAAGCCGCAAGGGTGAGCTAGCCTTTTTGGTATCGCATCGACCTGGCGTCCTGTACTGACGTTGTGGTGGAAAACAGTTCAGCGTGCCTTTGCCCAAGGTGCGAGGTTTGGCGGAAGAGGAAGTGTTCTCGGTGGTGCACACTGGCAAGAAGACACATAAGAAGTCGTGGAAGCGGATGATTACGAAGCCAACTTTCGTTGGTCCCAACTTCACACGACGTGACCCCAAGCGTAAGTGGAAAGCCAATAATCCATCTTCTGGGAGAGAAAAGAAGAAAAGGAAGAGAAAGAGACAGAAAATGCTGATGTTACCGCCAATCTAGACGAAAGATTCATCCGCCCGATGGGACTGAGGTACAAGAAGGCGCATGTCACACATAAGGAGCTCGGGGTGACGGTCAACCTGCCTATTCTTTCGGTTAAGAAGAACCCGTCTTCTCCTCTCTGTAAGTTGCTTCGATACGGTCCCCAAACCAGTTTGTTTAAAAACAAACAAAAGAAAACCACTATGGCTAACGGATGACTAGATACCAACTTGGGCGTTCTCACTCGCGGAACTATTATCGAGGTCGACGTGAGCGACCTGGGATTGACGAGTGCTAGTGGCAAGGTGGTCTGGGGCCGGTATGCCCAGGTCACTAATAATCCAGAGAACGATGGATGTCTGAATGCCGTGCTCCTGACCTGAAAACCCTGCGTTTGGAAGCAGATACAGATGCATTGTTTATTTGGGGGACCAATTACGGCGCTGTGAGACAGTTGGTGGTCGGTGGAAAAGGCCGCAGCAGAGTCTGGTCAACGGGCATTCACAAGGCGTTCGGAGTTTGGATGACGGCCTCGAAAAATGAAAAAGAACGGCTGATATTTGTCGACGAGTGTCTAACATGCTGACCTATCCCTATGGTAGGTAGGTAAGATGTCAGCTGCGGACCATAGGTATCCAGTAGATAGCAACTTTGCTTCCCCTGAGTCCTACAAATGATGATGCCAATGGATGGAGGCTCCAAGTATTATTAAGCTACCTACCAGGTATGGACAATGACTGGCGACTTGTCCACTCTGGGAATTATATGAGGGGTATACCTTATTAATTACCCATACCTGATAAGATATCCCTGGCAACTGCGGCGTGCGGCACTACCTTAGCCAGACAGATGACCCGGAGGCTCCTGGGGCTGTCCCAATGGATCACATGCTAATACATGTAGTCCGTCAATTCCCCGGATTCTCCAAGCAAGCCGACCAACTGCGTCATTGCGCTAGTGGGTTTTAAGAGGGCATTTTAGCAGGTCACGGTACCTCCAGGGTCAGGCAATGAATTCCCATGTGGGGGAAAGGATGGAACAACCGTTCATACCCGCGGGCGACAACAACCGACGGATGGGCGCTCCAACGGTACTTGTGAGTACATGTACACGTACATGCAGGAATTCCGGATATGGGACAGGGAAACACATGTACGGAGTACGGATACAAACCTACGTCCACTTTCCTTCATCCGAGGCACGACGACCTCTTGGAACTTCAACTTCATCAACCAAACCCTGTCACAACTACCTCACACACCTCACGCATCCGTATCTCGTCTGCCATTTTCTTTCTCTTTACCTAGACTCTTCTCGACTTCCTTCGTCACAGCGTGCCCGGCCGACAGTTAAACATCATCTTGTATACTTTCGTCTCTGTTAAGCTAATCGCATCCCTCATTTTAACATCGTCAGTCAATGCGACAAAACAGTCTGCGCTTGTGAATTGCGACTTGCGCCTTGCGATTTTGCGACTGCGGCGGACTGGGACAGTCTCTCTGAGCACCCCGTCCGTCCGGACCACTTCCCTTCCTCCCCCTTCTGAACGAACAGCGCTCTTCCTCTTCCTCTTCCTCCTATTCTTCGCCATGGACGCGCTTCAAATCGCCAAGGTCAGTGGACTTTTGTTCTTCGCTCATGCCCAAGCAGAACCCCCAGGCCATTTTGCGAAAGCTGACTTGGGTGTACCCATTTCCTCAGGCCGCCCTCGAGCGTATCGTCCTCGACCCGCGGTATCATGACCTCCTCGCCGTCGTCAAGGCCGCACGAAATGGCGCTGTCTACGGCACGAAAGTCCGCTTTCCTCACGCACTGGTGTAGGCATCTCCCTCCTTCGTCTTCTTCTCCCCCTCACCCCTTTTTTTTTCCATTCGGTCTTCTTTTCAGTCAGCTAAACCCCCACACAGCATGATCTTCCTATTCCGATCAGGAACGTTCCGCGAGAAAGCCTCTCTCGTTCTGCGCGCCACCCGCACCCACGCCCGCAACCTGGCCAAGTTCGCCACCATCTACAAGCTCTCCATGCTACTGCTCAAGACAGTCGGTCCCACCCCAGGCAAGGAGGGACCCTACGACACCCTCTTCGCCGGCGCCCTGGGCGGCTACATCGTCTTCGGCGGCCGCTCCCGCCGATCCGGCAAGATACCCAGCGTCAACCAGCAGATTGTCATCTACATTTTCGCCCGCGTCGCCCTCGGTCTCGCCCGCCTGGCCGTCAATCCGGGCCACGGCCTCCCTGTCGTCAGCCGCGAAGGCCCCAGCGCCGTCATTAGCCAACATGCTTGGCCTGTATTTGCCAGTGCCAGCTGGGCCATGGTCATGTATCTCTTCCGGTGGCATCCGGAGGACCTCCAGAGCAGCTTGCGTAGCAGCATGAGCTACATCTACCGTCAGAGCGAGGATTGGGATTCATTACGCAACTTTATCTGGCATAACAAATGAGCTTAAGATGAAAAAAGCCGGGACATTGGCGTCGATTGGCGTTTTGAGGGGGTGGGTGACCACCCAGGTGGCCACATTAAATGCATATTTACTCGGTACATAGACGTCTTCTCTCGTTTCACCATCTGCTTGTTGATCTGTTCCCGTCAGGACAGCAAATTTTCTCAGCAGTTGGGACTTACATATGTGGAGCTATAAGATACCAGGGGAGAGAGATATCATGGCATGATAGATCGAAGAAGTAGGCACGTCATGGAGATACCCGAGACACTGCCTGTGGATGAGCAGCTTTACGAATATAGCGTGCTTCATCTATTCTATCTGCGTCGGGGAGGCCTTCCTTTTCTATATATGCCATGCTTCTTGGGGCCATCTAGATGTTCGAGTTGATGGATACGAGGGACCAAGAAGCGGCTTTCGGCGACGAGAAGTCGGCGGACTAGGTCTCTAACACTCCGCTGGGCTTGATAGATTTCTTTTCGCTGCTTGGACTATCCTCCACACAAGATAGCGTCATTGACCAAGTATAATACCACTATCCAAAGACTCATCCGTCGTCCCCAAAACGTCCAGAGATTCAACACATCCCACACAACGCTTGCCAGGACGCTCAGTATCTTATATTGCATACCCTCCCCAGTAAATGACCCGCTCAGATCCTTTGAATTATACGCCTCTACCATGCCCACGAAGCGGAAAGAAACTAATACCACAACATGACTAATACTAGAAAGATCAGGGGATCTGGGTAAGTTTTAACCCTCAAGCCATTGTTTTACCAGCCATGAAATGCTTAATCTCGTCGACGCCAAGGAACCTGTAGAGTACCAGGCGTCAGTCCAAACTGGGTCATCCCTACACGCGAATGGGATATGCAGAGGGACCACAGAGGGCAAGCAAGCAGAAAAGGGCGGGCAGGGTTCGTCTAAATTTCCCACTCACGCTGTAAGTGCGATTAGCGCCATAGAGTCGACATCCTCGGGACGCGCGCGTTTAGCGAGGTCCTGGATGAATAAATTCTCGACGACAAATTGTGGCTTCTCGCGCCAGGCGGAGAGAAAGGAAACGGACGATTTGGCGTCCCATAGGTGACGAGAGGCGGTCCAGCGATGGACATGGATGAAGCGGCCCGGGCCCCGCGCCTCGCACGTCCCAACGGACTTGAGTATCTCGTAGAGCCCGACGAAGCCGTGGCCTAGCATGACCGTGCGGCGTAGACTTTCGTTGATGACCCAGCGCTCCCAGGATTTGGGCGGCCTGTCGCGGAGCGTCTGCTCATCGAGGAGCACCTGGTCGCCCAGGTTGTCTCGGTGGTCCTCTAGCTCCGTCAACCATGCCTGGAAGGTGGGCATGTCCCGTTCGGCCTGGGCGCGTAACCCGATGTCCCCGTCGAAGCAGCGAATGAGTTGGTACAGGAAAAGGGCATGCGTGCGCGCCAGCTTCTCTCTGACCGTAAACTCACGGTTCTCAGAAGGCGGACCTGCCGCCTCGATTGACGGTAGACTGAGCTCAGAGCACTGCACCTTCTGTGGCTGTGGCTGTGGCTGTGGCTGCTGCGGCGATTGGCTGATTTTTGGGGTCGACTGAGGTGATACCAGGTCTTTGGCGCATTCGTAGATGAGACGGAAGGCCCAGCCCTGCGTAGAAGGGGTTCGATTGGCGTAGGCGGTTGTGGCAGCGTAGGCGCGGAAGATGGCGTTGGGTGTGTCCTGGCTGTACAGGTGACGGTGGATGAAGGGGACTTCTTTTTCCCTCGCGAAGACGAAGGGGAATTCCTTGAAGGATTCAACTACGGAGCCGAGTTTGGAGTTGGGTTCGTGCAAACTCCATGAATTCATGCCCTCCTATACCCAGAAGACATGTTGTTAGTGAGATGGAGGGGCATCAGTCAAATATGACGGGGATGGCGCCGAGATGACGAGGTGCACGAGGAACTATGTATGATACAAAGGGAAAGATAAAAGAATATGCTCGAAGACGAGGCCATGACTGGTGGCCAGCTGATGGACAAGGTGAGAGGGGAGGTTGAAATGAAACAAACGGTTGGAAAGGGTTGAGCAAAATCGTGGAGAAAAAAAAAACCAAGGCAGAAGAGATGGCGAGGATGAGAACGAAGGTGAGAAGGGGTCCAAAGGAGCGGGAAAAGAAGGGACTTCACGGGAAACAAGCAAGGACATAAGAACGCACACAAACGTCGTCGAGTCTTTCGTTCCAGCGTTGCGCACAGATGTCGGTGGGAGGGGAACAACGGTGTTGTTGAGGCGGAGGGGTAGACAGCCGCGGCTCGGTCAACTTCGGGGACTCGGGAACATGCCAGAGCTGCATATCGTTGCCATTGGCCGGGTCGATAGCTGCGTAGTTGATGAGAGAGTTGAAGTCGAAGCTTGGCATGTCTATGGGGAAGGACAGTAATGTGGTAGGAGCGGCGGTGGGGGGATTGGTCACCATGGCCACGTCAAGATCGGCGTCGTTGGTTGAGGTGGACCCGGAGAAGCCGTCGAGGATGAATTCAGAAGCGTCGAAGGAAGGCGACGACGAAGATACCTGCCCGGAGCCCTGGGCAGGAAGGATGCCCAGCGCCTCCAAGTCCGCCATGTCTAGCTGAATCTGCGGCGCCGGAGCTGTCCTTGTCCCGCCGGTGGACATGGCAGGCGCCCGATATCGCTTCATCTCCCGGAGCCCGGTTGGCTGATTCATGTAGACGCAAGAGAAGCCCTTCTCAGCGCAGCGAGCACATTTTGGTGCCCTCTTGTCGCAACGCCTCTTACTTCTAACACATGCATTGCAGCTCTTCTGCCGTGACTTGTCCGTGGACTCGGGGACGTCGGCCATCTCTTCCATGAGTGCCTGTCGAGTGGTTTGTTCAACTCTTTTGCTGCCGTCAAGGAATCTTTTACCTAACTGGTCCTGTGGAGGACACTGTAGAAAGATGGAGAAAAGAAGGCGGGGAAGCTCCCCGGATAGATTACTCGGCCGGACGAGAAGGGTCAAGCTTACACTGATAGCTGATTGAAGTCGGTGCGGAGCGGAGCGGAGCAGTTGCGCCGGGGCGATGATCGGGACTGGTCACGAGGCGAAAGTCCGCAGTCTTAGTCAGCATTATTCCTTTGTTCCTTCTGTTGTCTCCCAGCTTGATTGACCATTCTACCTACTCACACATCATGTTATCATTAACCACCTTGGTCTCTCTCTCCTTTTGGCCAAGTACTCCGTAATGTAGGTATTTTCGTATTGCGGTGTCCGAAGTATCAATCCAAGACAAAGGTATAACCCCAGCAATCCGACACCTGGGAAGACGACTTTAGTCACCGCAGCTCGGCATATCTCAGACCTGTCTCAGTCTCAAGTCAGGAATATGACGATCTCTGAAGTCCCAGGCCCTGATATTATTATTGACTAGGAACTATCCGTACGTACGAGTCACCGCCGAAGAAACACCTAACAATCCTAGAGTAGCGGGGCAGTGGCTCACAACTGCCGGTCTGAATTCCAACTTGTCGAAGCCTTTGGTCGAATTGAAACGTCTTATCGAACTCTGGCGCCGTGCATCAGAAGCCAACCGGCCAACCTCACCACTAGTAGGTAGCCAGCTCACTCTCCTCGTCGACGAGGTAATTACATTGCCAATTGTTCTGGTTCATCCAGGCGGCCAAACTTGAAAGAGAGGACGTGTTTCTCTCCAGGGAGAGATGGTTGATTAGGTAGTTATTAGTTATGTCGAATTACTAAGTCATAGCAATCTTGGGGAATTTAAGGCATGCCGCAGGGCACACTGTTTCAACTCGGTTTCAACTCGGTCAAAATAAGGTACATATATAAATAGCTTATCAACCTCAACTGCGACCTTTGTGAACTACAAACGCGCTTTCAGGTTCCCACCGTCCGATTGCGTTTTCACATTTCATCCTATTCGGGCCAGTTACGAGTTACACATTTCCTTACTTTTTTTTTATTACTTTTTTTTTATTACTTTTTTTCCTTCCCCTTTGGCTCAAAAACAGTTCGATACCTAGTCACTCTCAAGTACGGGACACCTTGGATGTTGTGTGCCCGGGCCACCATTGCCACGCAAGACAAGACGCACCAAAAGAAAGCCCAGATAAACCACGTGTACGGATACCGTCCTACGGAAATGCAGCGTACCTTACCTATGCCTCTAGCTGAGAAAGCAGACGCCGAGACAAAGTTGGGGTGCTGACGATGTCTTTTGCCCAGATGGGTGTAGGGAAGCGAGGTGACGAGGTCATGTAGGTGATTAGGTATACGAACAACACTAACGAGACACGCCCAGAATACCTGCGGAGTGTGGCAGAAGCGTCCGCGGCTCTGAGAATTAGTTGCCGCGGGCTGATGCCAGTTTAATAGGCAAGGGACGAGATGTTCATTGGCCGATGGTTGGTTGGCCCGATAGTACTTCTCTCGATCCGCACGGAATTTGAGATATCCTGGCCGTCGAATAGATATTTTTGAACTGCAGCTTTGAACCAACATGCTTGCAAGGCCACGACGAATATCAGTCGCCGAACAAGGACGAGTAGGGTATTTGACCAAAACATGTCCCACACGAGTCGTACGGGTGTACCGGCCAATTGGCATCCTTGAAGACTCGGTATCTATGAATCAATCTCCGGACTGGCTTCCAGATTAGTCTCCAGTTGTCCCTGGCGGACAGAGACTCGCTCGGTCCAGGCCGAAAACAGGTTGGAGAGGAGATCAAAAATGTCGGGGGGCGGGGAGAAAAGGGGGGGTTCTATTTCGTACGGAGTACTTACTCGCACAAATTGCATCTGTATCAGTGTGTTAATTGGCATGGCTCGATGGCGATGGTAATGGCTGTTGTTTGTTTGGCCAGCTGAGTGAGACGACGAAACCGGGCCATTCAGGATGGCATCGTTGTCTACTGAGTAGATAGCCAGAGCCAGCCTTGTCCTTGTCTTTGTGCCTTGTGGCTGCTTAGCAGTCAGAAATCATTGGACTTGAGAACGGGAATGGCGTCCACTGTGTTTCTCATCATCATTGTTGTTATTTTAAGGGACTCAATGGGGAGACCTCACGTTTCAATATCGAGACCTCAAACGTGACATTTTAGTGGGGCCATGAACCCGCCGCCAAGATACATATGTACCGCACCTATTTTGTATGTAGCTTTATGTAGAAAATCGCAGGCGACATCTTAAACCTTAACGTATCACTTCCCACACCGTAACTCTGAATCCAACCGCCCAAAACACTATCACGATATCCTACACAATATCCTACCCGATATCCTACTCGATATCCTATATAAAGTGACCGATTACCCTTATGGCTCCGAGCTAAGTGTTGATATTTAAGTATTGGGATTGAGTGTTGAGATTGAGTTGGTTACTATGTTACCTAGGACTTTTTACATAATGTGTACATACAAAATGGGTGCGGTACATATGCATCTTAACGGTGGCGTCATGGCCCCACTGTAATGTCACGTGTGAGGTCTCGATATTGAAACGTGAGGTCTCCCCATTGAGTCCCTATTTTAACCGCCGTGTGGCATTTCATCTCTGGTGTAGAGGAACGGGATCGCCAGTGCACACGTGACACAATTCACTCTACCCGTGCCACGCCCCACTTATTTTCGTTCGTTTGGCACTCACCAGCTATAAACGAACCAAAATAAGTGGAGCATGACACGAGGAGTGTCTGAGTCAGAAACCGACTGCTGGACACACAAATTACTGGTTCTCCCGATCAAAAAAAAAAAAAAAAATTAGAAAAAAAAAATAAAAAAAAGGAAAGAAAAGACAGAAGTAAGCCGAGTCTCTCGGTCCAAAAAAGCAATGCCTAACGCCCCCCCTTCCCCGATCAAGGACATCCCCTGAACATCATTATCATGTTGGATCCTTCCTTTCCCTTTTTTCTCTCTCCAGGTATGCACGACTGACCCTCCTCGGACGACAAGTCATGCGTTGACGAGCCCCGTTCAGAGATTGGAACACGATTGGACCATCGCTGTGATTAGGTGCCCCCCAGGCTTGCTTGCACAAACCCCTTACGAGTCGTACCGTTCTGTGGCTGTTGATAGACGCATGCCATGTGTTGGCGTGCATGGCAAATTCGAGTACACAGGTACCTTATTAGGTACGCTGTACATGTATTCGTGCATGCGTACGTTGTATGCGTACATACCGGTGTTCATATATCTACGGATACGTACCTAATTACTCCGTCGGTACTCAGTATGAAATTCGTGCCACAGTGGTGTAGCTCGTACGAACAAATTGATAACCAGGTAGTTGCCTCCACCATGGACTTGCCGCCATCCTTCGTGCGTGGCGGCAGCGGCAGCGGCAGGCCTGCTCACCGCCCGGACCTATCTCCGCAGCGGCATCTGACCCGGTGCCGTCCCGTCGAACACGCGGACACCGTAAATAGCGAGGTACGTTGTACTAACGTGACCGTAACGGGGTCCCCGCGGGAAACGAGTATGGCGCATGTCACTTAGAGAACTACACGTACATCAGCAGGGGAGGCGGTCGCGGTATGGGACTGGTATGGGGCTGGTATGGGGCTATGAGCTCACGTCCAGAGGTCTACGAAACATGGTCTGCCATTCTTCACATGCACCAGGTCTCCTTCGCTGGAATTGGAAGACTGCATACCCATACAGTGCAAGTGTACATTGTGTCTAGTCGCGCTTGTTGACATGCGCGCATGGAAGCTATGGAGAAAGTAAATCATATCGCTTTTTGACGCCATCTGAGACGAGAATCTAAGACAAGTTAAGACTCGGTGGAAAATGTACGAAGTGGACTCTATGTAGGGCTCTGAGCCTTGCCTCAAGCTTCAAACGATCAATCGAGATAAAGAAATAGTATTAACGAAAGGAAAGCAGTGGGAAGGACGGGAAAGAGAGGAACGAGGTAAAGAGCGAGAGGAAGCGAAACAAAGGAGAAAGAGAGGGAGTGTGGGAGTGGGAGAGATTGGCAGTTCTGACATGGTATTCTCTCAAGAAGAACTCTGATCGACCAGCTCGGACGCCTCTTAATCTTCGTAGGCCCTAGGGATGAAGTGATACTGAACAGCATTGTCTCTGGACCGGGCCTATGTATGGCGATCGATTCGTGAGAGCAAGCAAGAAGTGTGAGCAACTTGTCGAGTCCCTAGCGAATTGGCGTTGGCGGCTTCAATGACTGTTGGGATCGTTTCAAATAGGTCTAAAAGATAGCCAGCCGAGGCCCTTGTAGTCCGCCCAGACGGGTTTGGATCAGCGTATCGGATCGGCGGGGGGAGAGGGAATGATGTGCGGGAGAAGTGCGAGAAGTGGGCTCGTCCGAGGGCAGACGGGACGACTTCTCAAGTCGGTAAAGTCGGTACGTATTGCTTCGTACCTTAAGGTATACATACATGGTAGGTACCTTAGCAACACGCTCTGGGTGGACAAAGCACTAAAGTCCCTTGAGCGCGCTCCCGCTCCCTCGACCCCTGCTGCAGCGGCTCTGTGTCGGCGAAATATCCTTGGAACTTCATGGGATCATTGCCTGCATGTGACGGATTCCAGGCAAAAATAACACTCCATTTTACCAGCCACTCCTTTTTCCATTTCCCTTTCTATTTTCCTTGTCTTTTTTCTTCTGGCTTTATTCTTTTCTGGATTTGTGTTTCTAAGAGTTTCCCGGTATCTGTAAGACCCAGGGCAGCCGATATACATAGAAGTACTCCGTACCTAGGCACCGCCAACTTAGGTACCTACCTCAAGGTACCTAGGCAAGGTATAGTATATATCCATTTAGCGGGGTACTGAAGAATGCGAAGAAGCTCCAAGGATGCGGTACAAGCGCCAGCAGAAGATGAGCGATTTCATTTTCGACTTTGACACCGTCGCCCGATGCGGCTGTTTATTGTGGGATCCCTACAGAGTAGGGGATGGAAGCATCTTATCCGGCACGCCGGGGCCTTTTTTTATACGTCTTGGATGTTTTTCTTGATCAGGAAAAATAACGCTCCCCTCGAGCTTTTCTAGGGAAGGAGACTCCCCCTAGTACCGGCAAAGTACTTCCTACGATAGAAGCTGTGAACGAAGTGTTCGACGCTTAGTATTCATACTCCGTAGAAGAATCGGCAGAATCGGGCTTGATTTCGAATCGGGGCCGGGTCGGGTCCCGACTGACCGGATGAAATGGATGGAGCGTGCTCGTCAAAGTATCGGCGTTATGCAAAGTATGGTTGCCGGCTTATAATGCGACCGACTGACACCCTTCGTAGGGGGCTGGGGAGAGCCTTGAGCGGTCAATCCCTCCACTCCATATCACCATTTCGTGTGCGAAGTACTTCCTACGGTATATACACCGATGGGCCCCCCTTCGGTAATGCTAGGGGTCATCTTGCAGCATCTGCAGAGAATAAATTTAATGAAGAACGGCTCGCTATAGTATATGCACGATGGCACCTCCTTCGCACCCCACGGCAAACCGGAGGGTAACGTTGCAGGCCCAGGGGTCATCAGCATTCAATTTGGCTCTTTAAAGCGCAGCGCTAGCCGGAGGGGGTTCGTTCGCCCTGAATGACCATGGGAGTTGTCCTTGGGCATGTGATTGAAGTTGATAGAAATCATCATCGCCATCGTTCACCTATTACTTTGGTGCCGCTACACCGCCGCCATCTACTCTGCCTCATTACATTCGCACAACGCTATCCGTTATCCGTTACGTGCGTGTTACATGGTTTGTGTCCTGCGATTTTGTTATTAGTTATTGGGGAAAGGGAAAGAAAAACGGGTGGAGTATGCAGGAGTCCAGAATGTCTATTACGGATAGAAAGTTCAAAGCCGTTCATCACCCCCGCTTCTTCTTACATAAGTTCGGGGGACATCTTGCTCGTCATCGAGTCCATGATGTTCCCCCAGCTTTCTTTCCTTAATAAGGTATACGGACGAGTGACATCTTAACCGGCGCCGCTTCGGCGCTGGTCAGACTTTGGCGGCTCTCGATATGGTACAGCGTTTGAGGGGAACGAGTTAGGCCAAACCTCGTGTCAGAACAAGAATATCGGTACAAAACTCATCATTCTTATTCCTTAGAGAGTTCTAAAGGTATTCCGAGGAAATATCTTTCTACCTTGATCAATAGTACTACAAAAGGGGGTGTGTAACATATATAACAAGCACCCTAGAACCTTACGCGGTGCATTTCTACTTCCTTCTAACACTTCGCAAAGTCGTAGGTAACACTATATCCGTAATAACCTGGACTTATCGGAGATAGGAGATAGCTATACTATGTATGTAGATACTTTGTGCGAAATTCCTGCTGGGTTTTGGGTCTAATCGATACGTACTTCGGACTTTATTCGTTGTACATACAATGTACAACGTACTCCGTACAAGGTCCACTACCTCCTAATACCTCGCGTCGGTACGGAGTAACAGAAGCTGTCTACGGAGTATAGGTGCCAAATGAAGTAGGCACGCTATATGAATTTGGATAGGTCTTGCTTAGTTATGGCTGATAAAAAAGCAATCCTTGTATGGCTTCTAGGATACCCATGTATGGGAACCTGGCCTATCGTGTCTGTGTTCTTATGCGGGAGGCACGAAGTACGGACCTTTTGCGTGAAATGCGAGCGAAGTACATCCGTATGTAGGGATACTTAGTAATTACAAAATGACACTGGTAAAACGTGGCTGTGGAGGGGGTTAGGAGGGGGTTAGGATGGGGAAAGGATCTGCGGATCGGAGGTGGAACACCTCAGCTTAGGGCCATAGACTAGCGGCTTTGTTCCTAGCTTGGATGATTAAGGAAACCCTAATACCGGCAGAGTGCCTATTGGTTGGGTAGAAGTTTTTTGATGGTTGAATCGGAGAATGAGCGAAATGGGCAGGAGCTGCCGGGCAGTTTCGACCGACTGTCCAAAGTCCTACCAATAAGCAGACGTCCTCGGACTCGCCTTTCACGCCTTCACGTGGTGGCTTGGCTTTCGGGAGATCGCGTGCTGCAGGGAACATACCTTAGAGACCTGGATCTCACGTTGTTAACCATGTGGTAAACGAAAAGGGGGGAACTGTTCGGGTCTTCTTCATTGAACCACTAGCATCAGTGTTACCAAAGCCCTCCATATTTTGTAATATTACCCCCGCCATGGCTTCCGCAAGTCCCCAAATCACCAAGTGACGAATACTCTCGTGCGGGTGGTATATTATCTCCGTGTAGATATGTATGTAGAAACGACTGCAGGAAACAGTTTCTTCGTCTTTGTATTTTTGACTTGAGACTAAGGTAGTCGAAACTAACTAGTCCTTGTACACTAGACCCTTCCCCCCCTTTCTCCGTCGCCTTTATCTCCGGAGACGCGTGGCTTTTATCGACCTGGCGAAAGAATTAATGGTCTTGGCCTAATTAAGTTGGGCATGTGTACTTAATTTATTGCCATAGACCCCTTCGTTACACATTCATTTATACTTGCCATTGTCACCCTACTGTATCCTATACCAACTTCTCCGTAGTTGCATTCTACATGATATTTTGCGTCGCATAAATCTGTCCGACGAGCTTCTGACCGATAGACTACCTATATAACCCTCTCGTTCTTCTTATCCTTGGCTTGTCTTAACTTGCTTGCCATGACCACCGCCGATATTGGGCGGAGTGAAGGACCGGATAGAGTGAAAAGAGCAGTTTACTTCGTACATACGCAGGCAGCGTTGCAGCGGGGGACTTTCTCAAGTACTAATACTTTCCCTTACTAGGCCAACTACCTTAAGTACCTTTACGGGTGAAGTACATATACGACACGGTATTCGTACCTACCTACCTATATTGCACGAGACACATCGAGACGATCATCGTGTCACGACTTTGCGAGCTCGTTCTTCAGTACCACTTGTAGCCCCTCTTGATTTGCTATGTCGATGAAGGGAAATGTCTTCCCTAATACCTATTTTCTCCACCCTTATAGGAAGACCCTGTGAAGCGAACACTGGACGGACATCGTGATCCTTGGGAGAGCAGACGCTCGGGCTCGTAAGTGCGGCGGATTAGGTCTAGGGCTCGCACCAAATTTTACGCATTTTCTTAGCTCGTTTTCCTGGGGAATAACATCAAACTACAGCCATCGGCCTCGGGACAGTGCCCACAGGTACCTGTTGAAGTAGACCGATCATTACTTGGCATGTCAGCAGTACTCACTCAGTACAACATCCGTTGATGATGCCCGGAGAGGAGGACCAAAGGGCCACGAAGTTGGTTTTGCTGGGGTCGCGATCTTTCAGTGTTACAATCCGGGGTTACTTCCTAAGCTTAGCAGTCATCCTGCAGACGATATTCGGCGGACGCAGTTTTAGGGGATGCTATCGGAAACCAAATAGGAAAGACCTAGTCGGCGAAGACATACGTCCTGGGCCCGGGAGCTTGGGGAAAAAGGGTTTGTCTCTGTTTGTGGGCCTTCTGTTATGGCAGCAACTTCGTACGTGCAGCGTGGCGTCCCCCTTAGACACACAATGCTACCGCGTGGACGCCCATGCTCTGAAGACGCGCGTGCTTGTGCTGTGCGTGCTTAATACAGCATATATCGCAGTAGTTAGTACGACAGCTTATGACATGGGCAACATCGCAAGCCGAAAAGAAAAAGAAAATATTGACTAGAGAGACGAGCAGTGCTCTTATGATCGGTTTGGAGCTCTGTCGAGACGTCGAGTCCTAAAGACATAATATGTTGTTTTGGTGACCAACTCCGTTGGGACTCTGCGTCTTCTTTTAGACTTCCAGGGGATTTTCCCCTTCTACCTTATCCTTCCGTTTGCCTACCTAATAACGGACTGAGGTACAAGCATACCAGCGTGCATAGAGCCTAAGGTATACTTCGTACCTACGTTGTAGTTGTCGACTTTTTGTACCAGACGAAGCCAGTACAGCGTACTGTACTTTGTACGTGGGTGACGCCTCCCCGGCCCCGGTTTGCCCATTCTACCCCTGCTGCTTCACCCGCTCCGGCTGCGTTGCGCATCGGATTGTCTTGAACTTGGGCCCTGCCGTCTGCACTGGTCACTCACTGGCCCCAGTCGAGTCGTACCTGCCTAGAAGTACTTCGTACCCCCCACCCTCTCTCAAACCGGGGTTCTGGCTGTCCAATTCCATCTAGGTAGGTAATCCCATCATTCCCACCCCCCCTCGCAGTTCCGTCTCTCCACTATTATCATTTCTCGTTCCTCTTCCTCCACACATGCTGCTGGTCGCATTCGATCTGGCGCTGTTCCTCTCTCCCATTTTCACGCCCCCATCACCATCACCAGCATCCGCTCCTTATTACTGACACTCCTTTCCCGACCTTCCGTCTTCACTTAATCTCACCGGACGGCGCGGCAAGTCCTCTCAGCTTCATCATTCTGTTAAAACACGTTTTGTTCGCA